AATGTACATATTACCACAACTAAGTAACTTTTAGAAGTACTACCAATAATGGATGCATTTTTTTTCTGAAATGAAAGCAAAAAATAACTCTCTACTTAAAAGAATTATAAAAAGTCAAGGATTTAAATGAAATTACTCATTTCATTAAGAAATGAAATATAAATTGAATATGTTATTTTATTAGAAAACTTTGTGGAAATATTTTACTCTGCTTTTGCATATCTCATGTGTAATTTTCAATTTGGAAGGTGTTTTTTACAGTTGTATAAAGAAAAATTCCTGAAGATGTTTTTTCAGTAACAAAAACAATGATGAAATATCCAGTGTTAGCATATGGAAAATCTGCCCCCGAACCATACCAGGAATAATTCAATAAAATTTGAAGATATTTTTAATTGTTTTTTGAGAATTGGTGCTTGCATAATTTAATAAAACATTTTCTTTTGGAAAAGTTCCACAGGCAAAAAGCGCAAGAAAATAATAGAATAGGACTGATGGTTGCTTCTAGCTAGTTTAACAGTCAAACTGTGAGACCTAATTGCCAATCTAGCAGCACGCTTACAAATTCATAGAGTTGAGGCACTAAGGTGAAAAGCTCACTAGAGCAATTGCCATAAAAATATTTGAAAAAAAAACCCCAAAAAACTGAATCAATTTCGAATGCATCTTGAGGGCAAATATTGGATATTTAAGAGATTTTTTTCATTTTTTTTTTTTTATCTATAATGGCAGTTCGATGAAGGACAAGTGAATGTGCTGATGTTTTTTTAAAAAAATGCTTAGAAATTTTATTGATATATGGAAATTATTTTAATTAATTAATTTATTTTTTAATTCGAATTGGTTTCAGGCTGTTTGAGTGTTATCTTTGAGGGCAATGAACTCGACCAAAATTTGAACTCTACTCACTGATTTCTCCTACCAAAGTATTCATTAACCATTTATATCTGACCAACGCATCCAATTATTTCAAGTAAAGTAATTAAATCGGTGCTAAAAAAAAAAAAAAATTACCCGACCGTGTTTGTATGGAAGTTAGTTGTCTCTGGGCTAAGTTACATTTCTTTCTGCAAAAGTAAAACTAAAGATAGAAAGGTAAATTTAGTTTTTGTCTAAGGATATCTAGTTCTTAGGAATGCTCAGTTATTGCTCACGCTGTTCCCACTAAGGCCAAGTAAGTATATACACTGCCCACCCCAGGGATTGAACTCACAATTACTATTGTCACCAAATTCACAAACCAAAAATGCTTTCAATTTCATCCATCCGACGGCTATGAAAGTTACCTTCTGAAAATGTGGACTTGTGATGACCCCAAAACTAAATTTACTTTATCTATTTGTAGGTTTAGTGAGGTAAAAAAAAAAAAAAATTTAACTTCGTCCAGATTATACACAGTGAGACAATTTCCGTGTAGCCGATAAGACGTTATAGTTTTTAGCGCCAAAAAATGTGAAAAAGTTGATTTTTTTTTTTTTTTTTTTTTTTTAAACTAAGCAAGAAAATGATGTTTTATTTATTTTTCCCTGTCACTTAAAAAAACAACAAACATGAATGAACACTTAACCATGAACATTTCTTAAACGAAGCAGAATTCAACTAGTTGACATATCAACAGAATGAATCAATAAACTCTATGGGTCATTTGTATTTTTTGATGACGAAATTTAATTTTCTTTGAATCTTTAGTAATAAAAATATAGAAGTTACTCTGCTTTCACAACTGAATATAAAAATGGATTGCTGGTAATTTTTTTTAATTATGAAAACTGAAAACATATTGCTTTTATTTTCATACCCTTAGTGTTCCAATTTTAGTTCATGGTTCAATTTTTGTTCATAGCTGGCACACTAACTATTTTTAATAGTTCATGTGTAAATAATAAAAATAATGAGAAATTAATTAAAAATTTAAAATAAAATCTATATATAAATAAAGGGCAGTGTACATCTGTTCGCCCATGTTTTGCGATCTTTATGAATCATATTCATAATCAACCTGAAGTAATATTCTAACTAAAAAAAACTAAACGCACTCCATCAAAAATTAAATAGCTTATTTTAAAAAAATTAAACTTAAATTGAACAGAGTGAAAGTTTTTTTTCGTTTTTTTTTTTTTTTTTTAAAACAAAAAAAAACAAACAATTCTTTATTAAAGGTTTTACTTTAATTTCACTTTTCATCACAATTGCAAATGATATCGTCTTAAGAAAAACCATAAAAACTTAAGCGGGGTACGGTATGTTGCTCATATGTTTTCTTTTTCTAGCACGCGTACTGTAACGTATTCGAAATATTACAAAGTTCGAGTTCTTTATCTTTTTTTTTTTTTTTAAGTGTGACTTTATGTGAAGAGATCATAAAAAGTGGTGATTTTAAAAGAAAATAAAAACTTCACGCAAAATTAAATGTAAACAAATATGGAGATCTCTTAAGTTAAAATTAAGGTGTTACTGTTGTTAGTGTTAAAAATAAAAAAGATAAAATGATAATTTTAATTTCTAAATTCTTACCTATAGGATGCTGAAGGTAAAAGGCTTCCACAGAAGCTAGCTTATAGTCCGGCCAAAGGGCGGCTTGTCTAGAAAATAAATGCATAATTATTTAAATCGGGCGAATTAATACAAAAAATTGATAATTATTCCAGCTTAGTGAATGATTAAGAAAAAAAAAAACAAAAAAACAAAACATACTCAGTTGCAGTTGGCAGCTTAAATGTTGATTTTGAAATAGAAACTTTTATTATTAAACGATGCTTATGTTGGCTATTAGAACCCAAGCAAAGTATTAAGAGACAAGAGGTGATAGATAGGCCATCACCTGGTTTAGTGATTTGGGTTTTTTTTTTTTTTTTTTCCATTGACCAGAGTTCAAAATTGTTGTACAGAGGATGATAGATTATTTAGTTTGGGACAAATGATTATGTCGCACCTTGAGTGCTGGTGTTAATAAAATAGTGCTCAAATGTAATTGTAATATTAAAGAACTAAGTATTTATTAATAAATATGCATTTTTTTTCCTCACTGCTAGCACAGATCTTTAAAATAAATGGGGGATTAATGTTTGTTTTTTTCCAAATAATTTTGAATTAAACAGACCAAAAAAACTATAAAATATATTTATTTATTATTCACAGTTACATTAGAAACCACTACAAAATTGTACATTTTGTTTTGTTGTTTCAATAAAATGTCTCTTCAGGTGGTTAACAATAATGGTAATAATGAAACAAAATATACAATTTTGTAGTGGTTACTTACATGTCCTAATGTAACGGTGAATAATAAATATTTATTGCTCTACTTTTGTATTGAGCCCTGTTTTAAATTAATGTTTTGAACCTTGCAATTTTATTCTTTGTTCTTTTACATTTGCGTCCGTGTGTATATATATATATATATATTATATTTTATATATATAATATATATATATATATATATTATATATTATTATTTTTTATTATATATATATATTTTTATATTATATATATATTATTTTATATTTTATATATATTATTTTATATTTTATATTATATATATTATTTTATATTATATATATATATATATATATATATAAATATATTCTTTAAAAGTTTGTCACTTAGCTGATTGATGTTACCTTCAGCATGCCAACTCATAGGTGAGTTTGACCACCCACTCTTGCGGCAGGGTATCAGCCATTTACTGCTTGTGTGTGTGTGTGTGTGTGTATATATATATATATATATATATATATATATATATATATGTGTGTGTGTGTGTGTGCACACATTTGCGCATATACACCTGTGTGTTTAATATTTGTTAGTTTATTTATTTATAAATTAAATTTATATTTCATTTATCTATTTATTTAAAGTTTATATTTACTTTATTTATATTTATTTGTTACTTTGTAATTTAAGCACTCATTAAAAATTAAGAATTTATTTATATGCCTACATATACCCATTATTTTATTTTTCTTGTTTAAATGTTTATTTTGGTTTTTAAAACTAATTTCTGCTGATTTATCCTCTAATTGCAAGTTACAATTTTTCCTGTTAATACTGTATAAGGCTGCTCTTTTTATCATTTCCCATTTCATTTTGGTGCTGATATTGTTTACTTTTTGGCTCAGTAACCATTGGTTGTATTGTTTGTGTATTTATTTAAGAAGTATTGATAATTCATCTTATAAATGGAGTGCCTCCATAGATGTGCACAAAAAAAAAACTTCTTTTTAAGCCATCTTACATATCTATCATTCATCCTTGCTTTGAATATTTCTACCACATCTGGTATATATTTAGATTCTTCATAAAATCCGAAGAAGTATCTGCAATGTCCACTTTAGTCATTTTCCCACTGCCATAAGGTTGCCTCTCTGTGCCTTTTCTATAAATACTTTCATGGTAATTGTTCTGATGACCTTTCCTATATGGTACATAGACTCTATGATTTTAAGTGCAATACTAGATTGGCAGCAAGGTCTCATCATTTACATTTGAATGGCTAGATGTAACTGTAAGTTCTATGTTATCAGTTTCTTCTCCAGCCTGTCAGCCAACTTTGCTCTTAAAAAGTTTAAATCAGTGTTAATCATTATCTTCTGTCTTAATCTTAATTCCTGTTCTTTTATTGTTTGCTTACCTTAATAGTGTTTGCTTTTTTTTTTTTTAAGTAACCTCTTGCACCTTAGTGTCTTTATTGCCATTTATGTTTTGCTCTTATAATAAACTAGATGGAAGAATTCAGCTGCCTCCTGCAAATCCCTGAACATAGCACTCTTGCTCAAAAATATGGCCCAAATATATGACAATAAAGATGAGGACAATAGCCTGACTAGTGTAAATATTTACAACACCTCATCTCAGAACTATAGACAGAAGGAAATTTTCAGGTACAAAATCACAATATTCCTTCAGTTGTTCATTACAGCTCCCTCTCCCCACAACATTTTGGCTTTTATTTCTATGATGCTGTTCATAAAAATAAAATACAACATTTTCTTTTTCAGCACTCTGCCTTAACAGGATCCTCTCTTGAAACCAGTGTTTGCATGTTCCAACAATTAAAAACTGCTCTTATAAAATGTAAGTGAAAATTTTTATATCTTTTTTACTAATGTATAATGTTATCAATGTTCACCCAACACAAGGACCAAAAGCTACCTAAAGGTAGATGGTTACTGTGTAGATTTATATTAGCATTGGAAAAACAATTGTTAGGAGCATAGAGTTGAATTTTTTTTTTAATCAGAATTACCCCAAGAAAGGCAGTAATGCTACTAAAACACAAAGGGCTCCAGAGTGTGGAAGAATTAGGAACAGAAATATTAATGATGACTGAATTAAATAATGAAAGAAAACAGAGTAATCAGATGAACAGTAAAAGTTCAAAATACTGCGGAGGAGTGTAAACCGGATGATAGGCAAACATATCTTTTCCTATTGGTGGAGGAGAGAAAAAATAAAATAAAATGAAATAAATAGGGAATAAAATTTCAGAATTCAGGTGCAGATATTAGGAGTAGAGAATTAAAGCAGAAATTATTTTTACTATTATTCCATATAATTTTTGGTCTATGATTTCAAAAACTAATGTTAATCCAATACAAGGCCCAAGAGCCATTCAAGGTAGAGGATTACTCTTTGGTGTTGTATGAAAGGGTGAGAAGTGAAGTTCATGGTGCTATGCAGGAAAGATAACGGTTAACCATAGATTTGAAGAGGTCAAGATTGTAGTGATCAAGAAAATATCCTGTGTGTGTGTGGCATGGTGGGTTCTAGTTTTAAAGGTTAGGGGTGGTGGGATTAAGGAATGTAGCACGTCAGGACACATTCCATGGAAATAGCAATAGAACAGCGAGAGGCTCACAACATTTTATCTGTAAGAAAGGGGTTTTAGAGTGGAAAATCATCACCCACAAGGCTACATAAATGCTTTCGAATTCTACCAAGAGATGCAAGTGAGTACTGGGAAGCTCCAGCCCAGATATGGCAGCAATACTTCATGTTTAGTCTGATCTGACTCTTGTAAAGATGGAGTATTAGATACTTACTGAAGCAGTACAATGAACCAACGATTTTTGCAGCATCTTTAACAATAAGTCGCATATAGGAGTTCCACTTGAGGAGACCTTGAGTCCCAATAGATCTTCAAGATAGAGAGCCTCCTTGGGAGAACACCTGAATCATGAAAGTTTGGGGTCTGCTCAGTGGTGATGCTAGGATGTTACTAGTTTAGTTTGGACTGTATTGAATGTTATAAACCAGTCTTTTACCTATTGAACCACCTGTACAAAGTCGGAAGAGAGATGAGCTGCAAGGTTCTGGTATTTTAAAGGAGCACCTGTATACTGTTGTATAATCTGCATACATAGATAGAGATTGCCATTTAGCTGATTGGTGTTACCTTCAGCATCCTGGCTGCAGTATTTCACTCTGTCAACTCATCAGTGGGTATCAGCAAGTGACTGTTGATTTTTTTCTTTTTTATGCACTTATCATTGGTACATGGGATGTATATGTGCATACTTGTAGAATCTTGTGCTTTCTTGTTACTTGATACTCTCTCCTTATTGGTTTTATACTGTTTCTCTCTCTTTCAGTTGTAGTGATTTTGACATCTGGTTTTACAGACATTTGCTCTAAATAATGACAAAAGGGAAAAGCAAAAAATATGACAACATTGATAACAACAATGACTATAAACTAGATAAAAATGGGCATGTAATATTACTAAACTCGCTCCTTAACATCTACTACCCAAAACAATTTATACAAAGTTAACAATATCAAAATAATTATGACCACATCCCAAACTATTATGGATATGTCAGAACCAAAAATATCTATTATTATAATAATAATAATAATAATAATTCTGAAGCAGGTATATCTTACTTATTATAAAACGCAGATTGTGTGTGTGTACGTTTATATATTGGATCGGATTTCCTTCATTTTTCAACTGATTTCAACAAAACTTCACAGGACTGCATAAAATTACCTTGTGGTGGTTCTGACAGCGCCAAAAATTAGAAAAACACAATTGTTTTTGCACGAAATCAATTTGAAAACACGATAAAACATGATTCTGTCACCAGAATGAAAGAGGGACAACTCATATCAAGTTATACTTATTATAAAACCCAGGTTGTTTGTGTGTGTTTGAATATATATGGGATCGGATTTCCTACATTTTTCAACCGATTTCAACAAAACTTCACTTTTTTTGGCAGGTAGTGTTTCTTATTGTCTTGCACACTTTTTTCTTTATTTTTACATTCAGAATGCTTTAAAAATTCCATTTACAAGACAATTCTTTATAATAAAATTCTATTCAATTGGTAGACTCATAACGATTGAAAACAATGTTTTTGTTTGAGTTTGGGTTTAACCAATTTGTAAAAAAAAGCAAAAACTGCATGTCTGTCAACCTTAAACAATAATCTTTATCAATTTTATTTTTTAGTCTTTATGATGGTCGATACTTGATCTATCTCTTACTGTTACATCCACGGGCTCGCCGGGCTCTACTGCTAGTATAAAATAAAGTCACAACTTAGATACTTGAAAAAAAAAATACATATCTATGAACACTTTTTTTATGGTGTCCACACACACATATACACACACACATATACACACACACACACACACACATATATATATATATATATATATATATATATATATATATATATATATATATATATGGTAAATTATCAAATGCATTAATCATACATAGAACTAAATTCAACCACAATTTTGATTTAAAGAATGCCACACTTATCAAAAGAGAAAGTAACTTACTCAAAAGGAAAATTTCTCAAGAATGCTGCTATCAAATCTTACCAAAATGTAAATCTGCATCCTGGATTTTTTTTTTTCAAATATCTTTTCCAAGCCAATATACATAATCATAAAAATTTTAAAAATATATTTTTTTTTTTAAATGAATTAAATCAATACCATCTATTTAAAATAGTTAAATACATAAATTAATTTTTCAAACTAAAATAATAATTAAGAAAAAGAATTAAAAAAGAAAGTCAACAGCAGTTCTACAATTACTCACTTTGATTTATCAGGTATTAAATTACAGCACTTAGCATCCTCCATAGTTTACCTTGACTTTCACAGCCTGAAGTATATTTATGAGCCTTCTTTGATCTTCAAACATTTAAATGCAGTATCAATGATTATCTTCTATCTCTTTAATTCCTGCACTTTTATTGTTCTCTCTCCTTAATAGTGTTTTATTTTCTCATATTCTAACACTCAGTAAGCACATGTGTTTTAGCTGCTTTTTTGCATTGCTTGGGCTTAAATGATTAAAACAAATTAAAATTTTTAAGTTTAAAAGAGTTGAAAACCTAATATTTTTATGTGTGTTTATAAATACTTGTTACAAAATAAAATTTTTATTTGACTTGATGATGTCCATCAGAGGACGAAGTTTGTTGGTAAAGAAAAGTTTTCAGTTTTCTTTATTCATATATGATGTTTTTCTTTAAAAAATACTTTTTTTTTTTTTTTTTTTTTTTTGTGTGACATTGTTTTTTCTCAATATTTTTCATTTTCTATTGAATAACTTGATTGATTCTAATTTCAGGGAAAGATCCTGACAACTTATTTAAAATGTCTAATCGAAAATCAATACAAAAATTTGATGGTAAGTATTCAATTATTGATTTTTATTTATTTTTCTGTGAATCTCATGGTGTCTCATGATGAAAGCTAAAAATTTTTGTAGCAAATTAAACACTTCCTCTTCATTGCTATTCTTAACTCAAAGTCAGTGGTTACATACATGGTCTTTTTATTTTTCTCTATAGTCTCCGATGCCCAGTTGGTCCCATCAAAAGATGAAATGGCCATTACGTCGGAAATATCTCCTGCCTTTATAATGACTGCTTTGCTGAAGGCTATTTGTGAGAGAGAAGCAAAAGATCCCAAAGTCTTTGAACGTGAGTGTTGTGTGTTTGGTTTTTTTTTTTTTTTTTTTTTTTTTTTTTTTTTTTTTTTTTTTTCCCTTATTTTTGCCCTGGGGGTACTTTAAAATAGTTGCAGTTTTGCACAAAGATGGATAAACATGCCCACAATAAGACAGTGTCAAAAGGACAGTTTTCCCATGTTAACACATTTTTTTAACTACCTTCACTCTTCAACAACATTTTATTATTTTAAAAATCAATGATTTAGAATTTGAATAAAACTTAAACACTTGATGAAAGTGATTTTGTGCTTTTTTTTTTTTTTTGTCTGTTCTGGAGAATTTACAACAAAACTGTGTCTGTGATGAAATTTGTGGCAACATTCTCCGCTCATCTGTCGTTCTATCAGTAACATCTAAGATTAGTTGTTTGCATAAACACCTGACTTGCTATATTCACAGATTTGTCTGCTTAGCCATAATTGAATTCAACAAGGAATAATGACAATTGATTTTCAAGACTCTCTGGTTGGGAAATAGCAGCAATATGAATTCTCACTTCTTAGCCATCTGTTTTCTTTGGCTGAACTGCTATCTCCTTAACAGCTCGCTGGTCCCTTCCATCTCTCTTTGACTGCCGGTCTCTTCCTCAGTGGCCACTATTCACTTACCTTCTTACTTATTCAGTGACTGCTAGACCCCTTTCTCTCTCTCTCTGCTTATATGGATAATAGTAGGGGTCCCATCCCCCTATCCATCCACTTGTGTTCCGGAAGTTGAAGACCACCCAAAAAACTGAATGGATGGTCAAATTTTCAAAAGCTACTACTTTTACGATTATCTAAAATCATTAACAACATTTTATGTTTGCCAATTCAAAGGAAGCTGTAGACATAAATCCCCAAAACACTGACACTTAATTTTAATCAAAGATGAACTGGAGACAAATTTCCTGAAAGCTTTGGATATTTAAGTTGACTCAAAGGGAAAGAAATCTATTTACTTATCTCTTCAAGATGTGTGAGAAATCAGGTTGTTATATTTCATCATGGAATTTGTAAGGAATTATGAGGATTCTGAATTTTTTTTTTTTTTTTTGTTTAACTCAGCATTTCTCCAGAGCTTATTTCAAGTACACTGGTGTAGAAAAGGTTTAGGCCAACTTTTTTCTTTTTTTTAATCAGTATCACTCCAAGCAAGGCAGTGCAGCCACTAAGACATAAAGGGTTACAGGGTGTGGAAAAATTAGGAACAGAGACATTAGTAATGAGAAGAAAGAAAAGAGCAATCAGGTGGACAGTAGATAGCAATTGACATTGCATTAAATTTTGGAAGATTAAAGTTGCCTAGAAAGCATGGAGCTGGGTGGAAGTTCCACAAGTGAGAAGTGCAAGAAAAGAAACTGTTAGCATAGAACTTATGGCTACATCTAAAAATGATTATACACTGTTACTTTATAAACAAACTATCTTAAAGGGTGAACTTTTAAACTAGCCCCTGTCCTGAATTCTGCAAGTTGTTTTCCATCAAGGTAGCATCTTTGGCTCTAAATGAGGTCATTGCAAAACAGTCATTGTAGCTTCTGATGTGCTCAATGGGGTGTTTTGATTCATCTAAGTTTCCATCCAGAAATGGATAGCAATGGCTCTGGAGGAACTGGCAGATATTTTGTCCATATTTTTTCTTTTATTACAGCACATCTCATCTGGTTCATTCTTGAATATGAGGGCATTACAATGCTTACACTGAATTATCATTGATCCAATAGATTATCTTTGGATAATTTGAATAGTTATGTCACTGCTGTGTTGAAAAGCAAGCTTATTTATTTTAATTTTTATAGTTATTTTTAGATTTTAATTCTTAATTTATTTATTTTCAATATTTTAATATTTTTTATATTTAAATTTTTAATTTCTTGTCCTTTTTTTATTTTACTTTACTTATTTATTCATTATTTTTAATTAATATTATTTTAATTTTCCAGATATTACCAGATTGCTTTGTGCCAAGAAAGTGATCCCTGATTGGATTATGAAATCGGACTTTGCCAGCAGAAAAGATATATTAAGCTACTTGCAACAATTATACCTTGGTAACCTAGTAAGTAATTATGCTATTTGATCTACTTTAAGTAAATAATATACTAATACCATACTTTAATAACCTACCCAAAGGGTAGGCGACTGGCTTTTGCCTTAAGGTACTGACAGTATTTACCTATTTTCAAGCCAACTAAATACTCAGACTGAAATATAATGATAAAAATAAAAGAATATTCCAACATTTAAATAAACTCAAGAAAGCTTGAGATGTTTTAAAATTCTTCATCTGAACTCAATCCTGACAAGGTGTCTACCTTTTGTCATTACATATTCAAATATATTATAAAAGAAAACTTCTATAGTTAAAGGACCTGACAATATTGCTAATTTTAAAGGTTGGCAGATTTGTATAGAGATAGAGTAACATTACATAAGTTGCATGTGATTGTTATATATAAACATATTGAGGTATGTAAATATAAAAAGTGGACATTGAGGTCACCACCCAGTGGCGACTGTCTGTTTCATGCTTAAACACAAAAACATAAATAAATTAATCCAAATCACTAAGTAAATAAACAAACTATGAACATGCACATAAACACAAGTAAACATAATAATAACAATCAACAACAAATCTAAAATAATAATAATAAATGAGTAAAAGGTTAAGAAACAACACTATAAATTAGCAGCAAAACTGCATTCAGATCCACAATTATTTCCACTCAATAGCCTTGAGAGTAATTTAAAAATATAACAGTTATTGCACACCAATAACTGTTTGAATAATAAACAGACATACCTATAATGCAACACTAGCTACCATAGGTAAATAGTTCAACTGACGATTGTGTTTAAGCATACAGCATACTGTTTGCTGCTGAGTATCTGCTTATATATAAATAAATTAAGAAATCAGACGATTTTGCTACCTTAGTTTCAATCTTTTGGTATCTTTACACGATTTTAGTAAATAGATTTCCTAATGCCTTTTTTTAAATAAAAAAAATTTAACAACACTATTTAAAAAAAATAAATAAATGAATGAATAAGCATACGACATGACGTCTGGCAGAAGATGGAGGAGGACGAGGGGAAAATCAAGTGTACTGGAAATGTCTTGGGGGATTAAATGAAATATACATACTTTCTTTTCATCCCACTTCAAATGAAAATTATGTATATTTCATTTAATCCCCCCACCATTACATTTCCAGTACACTTGATTTTTCCCTTATCCTCCCCATCTTCTGCCGTTGTGTGCTTATTCATAATTTTTTTTTTTTTTTTTTTTTTTTTTAATAAAGTGTTAGGAAGTCAATTGGTTGAAATTGCCTGAAGATACCGAAAGGGTGGAAACAAAGGTAGCGGAATTGGCTGATCTCTTAACTTTCTATACTTAAAAGCTCTACATGTTAAATTTTTATCTTATGTGTATTGAGCACATTTTTAATACTACTGTTTCCTGGCCTAAATCAACTCTGACCATTCAACTTATATACAAAGATTTTTATTAAATTTTTCTCACATTTGTAAAAGTGATTTCTTTTGGAAATATTGTGTAATAGTTTGTAGATATGGCAGCAATATTCAATGCATAGATGAATATTTATAAATATGCAAGTCTAATTATAACAGGATTCTTGGCAGATTTTTGGTAAACTATTTACAGATTTCTTTTCTAGAAAAATGTTATTATAGGAAAACTTGAATGTTATTCTTCTAGGAAATTTGTAGAAAATGTTATTCTTATAGTGCAAATTGTTTAAAAAGTGGCATAAATATTGATGTTACATGTAATTTTTAATTCATTTATTATAAAAAAAGATTTATCTATGAACATAAGAGATTTACATTTAGACAATTATTCAAACTCTTATAATACACTGCAAACAAAACTGAGCATAACGTGGATTTTATTAATGTCACCCTAACTAAAAAAGGACCTAATTCTTTACATCCAATGTACTTCAATGGATTACTGATAACAATATTACCATCTATGAACATGTCAAAAACATATTACATCACCTACCTTTTATTGAATCGATTCTTAAAGAACCTAATGTATGTTTATCTAAAGCAAACGGTGGGTATGTAAAAGTGTTCCCAAATCAACATGTGAATAACCACCAAACATAATGTCTGCTGGATATACACATACTTAAGAATATACATCATCATCTGAGTTCCACATAGACAAAGTAGAATTATTATACACTTGCTTACATAGAGCAATATTTTATGGATTTTCAATTACACTTTGAATCCGTTAATTTCTTGGACTTCAAAAGAACTCTCCTTGAATTCAGAAAGCCATAAATTATACTAATGTTTATTTAACATGTTGAATGGACACAAAAACCTGATTAACCAATGAAAACAAACAACACTAAAAGTAAAACTACCAGAGTTTCTTCTTTTTTCTCAATATCTCATTCTCTGATGGAGTTTTAATAAAAGTGAAACATGTTAGATTGATAACGCTTTCTTATTTGTTCATTATCTTATAAAATTGGTATTAGATAAATTATAAGATATGTATATATAAGTATCACCACTCTTGTGCTAAAAAAAGAGCATACCTTGATGAAAAATGCCCCAAACTTGATAAAAACAAATTTTTATTTTCTGAATGTCTATTGTTATTATTAAAAGAAAAATCCTAAGTATTTTTTGATTATTTTATTAAATTTATTCATCCTTTTTAGAACATTCAAAATTTTGATTAAAAATCATGTTTTTCTTGCATTAGAAGTACCATTAAAACCATTAAAATTTATGCCTGCCATTTTTGAGAAATTTTGTAAAAATAAATTATACCTTTTTCAAACTTTATTTGAGGAAAATTAGAAAATTTAAAATTTACTTAATCTAATTGGAAACATATATTACTTACTTTAGCTTTTTAGCAGAAAAATGTAGTTGAAAATAAGAGAAGCCTGTCTTAACACCTCAAAAACAAGTCACCATGGTTAACTGACAGTTACATTGATGTATTGACAGCTTATATTGAGGAAATTAGCAGACAGAAGAACAGAAGTGACATAATTTTTTTTTAATTTTAAGTGAACTTATTTAACTATCCAGCAATTTTTAACAAATATTTTCAGCAGTCTAATATCTTATTGATTTTTTTTTTCTGTAGCCTTACATTTGAAGATGCTTTGTGGAAAAATAAAATTTAAGATACTAGCAATAAAATAATTTGAAAATTTCATAACTGAGAGTGAAATAAAATTTCATAATAGAGGTACCTATAATTATAATGGACATCTCTTATGAAATTTTATAGTATTATTTTTTATTTATTATTAATTTTTATATTATTCCAGTTATGAAAAAAAATTTCACAAATGAAATATGAAAATGAATAATTAAAAATAATACCATAAAGTTTCATAAGATGGGTACTCTTGGTTTTTTTTTAATGAGTTAATTTTTTTTCCTTATTTTTAATATTGTTATGTGACAGTTATGATAATATGAAATTTTTGTATGAATTATCTAATCATTTACATTTATTTTATTTAATCATAGTTCACCAATAATAGAAGTGTCAAAATAAAATAAAAAACTGTTGTGATTTCAGACTTTAAAGATGTCCAAAGTCTGAAGAATGTGGTTCCCTTTGTTTCCGTCTCTAAAATTCAAACTAATAAAGAAAAATTGCATTATGTTTGTCATTGAAAAACAATAAATTAATTATATTTAGTAAAATAAAACATTAAAAAAAAAATTAAAAAAATTTTGAAAATGCAAAGATGGTCAAAATTAGAGAATTGTTCAATAATGGGTTCAGAGAACGAAAACAAAATTTTCTGAGGGCAAATTATGGGCTTCATGGGAAATAACTCTTAAAAACGCGTGCCATTTTAAATGTCATGTCCAATCATTCATACATTTGGATAAAAATGTTTTTATGCACATTCAAAAACAATCTTTTTAAAAATGTATGTTTGTTGCAGATTGTAGTAAGCTTTCAAATTTATGATCCGTAAAGATAGATCTACTTAATAACAGTGTTTCCAAAATTTACAGATTGAAACTTAATTTTAAAATATTTAACAACTTTATCACATTTTGTATTTACAATTGGAAATATAAGAAAACAATTCTTGTAAAAATTCATTTTTCATCAGAAAAATATTTTGACTTCAGATAATATTGTCCTTAACATATTTATAAAAGCCATTAAAATCTTTTCTAATTAAATAATGTTTTAGTTTTATTCGATTTTGTATGTTACATTTCAAAGCTGATTTTCGGTAACTGGGTAATTGAATTTTACAAAAAAAATCGATTTGAATTTTTCAAAGACTTCTGCTTTTAACATATAATCAATAAAACTTACAATGTTGAATTTTTCAACTGTAAAAAAAAAATTCTAAAATAATTCATTTGTGAATAAGTCCTGAATGTTTCATTAAAATTCAACAATTTGATTTTTTCCAAAACAATGTGTTTTTAACACCAAAAAAGATGCTAAATTTCCTAACACTGATCTATGACGCAAATAAAAAAGATTTTTAACCAAAATTTCAAACATGCTAGAAAGGATTAAAAATATTTAATAAAATACTCAGTTTGGTCTTTCTTCTTAATAACAGCATAAACATTTTCACAATAAAATTTTGTTTTCATCAAGTTTGGTGTCTTTTTCATCATAGTATGCTGTTTTTTAGTGAAAATGTGTTATACACACACGCACACAATGTATTTTCTTTCTTTCCAGAAAAATTTCCCTTGTGCAAAGACTAAAGAGTAAGTTAATTTTATTGTATTTGACTGTGAATTTTTACTTTGCTTTATATGCAATTCAGAATATGAGATGAGATCCAAAAGTTTCCTATCAGAAAACAATAACATATGTAAAGAGATTTGTGTGACAACAACTGTTTTATGGCTTCATCAAATAAAGAAAATAGATTATTACTTCTCGCTTGTTGAACTCTCTTCTGGCTTCTCAGTCAACTTTGATCTTCAAAAATTGAAATGCAATATCAATTGTTATCTTCTGTTTTCTTAATTCCTGTTCTTTTATTGCTCTCTCTCCTTAATAATGTATTTTTTTTCCTCATATACTGTCACACTCAGTAACCCCTTGCGCCTTAGTGGCTTTATTGCTTTGTTTGGGGTGAAATAATTAAAAGGAAAAATAAAAAAACTGTAAATGTTTCTTTATTGCATGTATGATTTTCTTCAATACTTATATATATATATATATATATATATTATATTTTATTTTTTTTTTTTTTTTTTTTTTTTACCAAGGCGGTATACTGAAGAATATGAAGAAATTAAGTTACTTGGTGAAGGTGGTTTTGCATCTGTCTATAAAGTGAGTATGTAGTGATTCATTACATTCACTTATGTACTAATACTCTTGGGAAAGGTATGAATACTCTTCTTCCCCCACACTGAGTTCTATAGCCTTGGATGGCAACTGGTCTACCGCAGAAAGAAATGGCAACCTACTGCTGGAAAAAATCTGCCTTGTCAGTCCTGTATCAAAAGATACATGATCGCCTAAGTGTGTATCACACATGGCACATAACTGACATATATATGTGTGTGTGTGTGTTGTAAATAACATGAATTAATTATGTAAGCAATTGTATGTTTAATCAAAAATCAATCATTTAATAAATGTTATATCTTGTTGCACGCACACACTAAAAAAATCTGTTCATAATTTATTTTATGTTTCTATGTTATGTATGTTTTTATGCAACCGGATATTAATTTAACATGTTATAGATGGATGACACAATCCCAGATAAAAATAATAAAACCAAGAACAAGGTCACATATCATTTTCACTCCCACAACAAGTGTGTGTGTGTGTGTATATATATATATATATATAAATTTTACCATTGCACTTTTTGGAAACCTAATGACAAAGCAGGAAATTTGTCTCTTTTGTGTGATGTATTTTATGCTTCACTGAACCCTCACCAGAAGTAGAGGGGGTGAAGGATTTGGATTCTGATTCCTTCTAAACAGGAAACAAGGGATAAACCTCTACTCCTGTTCAAAACACCAGAGAGAAGTGTAAACTGGGCTACAGGTGAACCTACCCACTCCTATCAAATCTGTCTGTTGTTGTCTGTATGTGTAGATTTTTATGGAATTAATAAAATCAACAAATTTTACTCTAGAAATATTGTACATAATAATAATAATAATAATAATATTTCACATGAAACTATTTGCCACTTAATTCTCTTTACTGAAGGAAATTAAATTTTTGCTTTATGTGTAACTAAATTCAAAATAAGAATTTCTAAAAGTCATTTGCACAGCATTAAGATGATAGTCTGTGTGCGTACTGCCAAGGAAGGTGAAATGCATAAGAACCTGGATGCAAATTTACTGCGGATGATCTAGCAATTAAAGCACTTTCTATACACTTTCCCAGGCCTTGTATAAGGGGAGCATCATTGTGAAAAAAAAATACCTTAAAAATTATTTTAAAAAAAACAATAAAGGTTGCAAAATTAATTATTGGTCAACTTACAACTAGATTGATGTACAATCTGTCAGTCATAACTATTCATATTTGTAAGTCAACAACAACCTGTCTGGCTTTTAAATTTTTCAATTTTTTTTTCTTCTTTTAGGCCCTCAATAAAATTGATGGCAGATATTATGCAATTAAGAAGATTTCTGTTCGTGGTTTTCCAGACTCTGTCTCAAAAGTAAGTCCTGCATTATTGTTCAATTTGTTTACAAAGAGAGCTAGTCTCTTTTTGTTTGATACCTGTTCTCATTGCCGGTGCAAGGATCTTGTGTCACTCCCTAATCTATGATACAGGTACCTCACCCTACTACATGTCCATATTTCATAAGATAGTATTCATATAAAATATAAATTTTATTGTAACCTAATTATGTATATCCAATAATGGATCATATGCAATATAGGTGAAAAATTCAAAAGGTAAAATTGAAAATAAATACAATGTGTTTTAATACAAATTAGAGACATGACATAATAGATCATTCCATATTTTGCAGCAATTTTTAATATCAACTTAAGATTTTTCTTGATAAAAAGTTGAATAATTTAATATATTCAACATTATGGATAGAAAATAGTGGTTTTTATATAGTGTTTTTTTTTTTTTTGAGACTTAACATGAGCAAAATAAATTCAGATATGGATGAAGAAAATAAAAAAGACCCCAGAATAATGTCAAAATCTGTGAAGATTTTTCATCCTTTAATAGTCAGTTTTGCTTAGTTTAATTTGTAATGTATATAAATGTCTGTAGAAAAAAACAAATGTTGATAAGGTAACAAAGATCATAAAGCACTTCCCAGAGCCCACAATCTTTGGGTAGTACACACCGGTCCCACTTGTTTTCCTTTCTTTTTTGCCTGGAGTGGGTCTTGCAGTGGAGAAGACAAACTGTGACAGAATTCTCCAAGCACTCTTTCCTAATTATGTCTCCAAGAAACCCATAGTTGGTTCTGAATACAGAATTGTCCTTCTCGTAGACTGGTTGCCACCCAAGGCTATAGGACCCAGCGTTGGTTGTGGTGGAGTTGGTTACCCAAGTTAGATGGGCAGTAGCTATCCAGTGAGACGACAAAAAGAAAAAAAATAAGAAACAATGAAAATCTTTTATTACATATGTTAAGCAATTATTTATTTATTTTTGTTAATCAGTTTGCCTCAAGCAAACCACTAAGATGCAATTGGGTCTAGTGGGAGTGAAAGAGAATGGGAAAACTTTAGAAGGATCTAGAAATTGAATCCTAAACAGGAAACCAATGATAAACCTCTACTCCTGTTCAAAAGATTGGGGAGGTGTGTGAACTGGGCAATAGGTGATACCCTTATTCATTCCCCACCTCCCAGTTTTATAAATTAAAATGACCCTTTTCCTTATTTTATTAAGAAATTTGTAATATCTTAGCAATATGAATCCCATCGATGGGGTGCTCTTGTTTGATCTTTTATCTAATGAGGTGCTCCCTTCAAGGACTAGACAGCAGACAAGTCCCTCAAGACAAGTAAAATAAACTTATCACAACTAATAACGTTGACAGCGAATTCATTGAACTCTATAAAATTATATGTTAGTATTAACTCAGCAAATATTACAGTGGAGTAATGGGTAGTGATTTGGCTTGAGGAATCTGAGAGACAAGTTTGAATTCTGGTCAAATTTGTTACATTCACTTACAGCTAAATATCCTTTGGAAAAGTATTAATCCATTGTTTCTATCCCCCAGTTAAGGGCAAAATAGTACAACAGGCTGGGTCATATAACCTGGGGTGTAAACCAGTTTAGGCTAAGGACAACTCTGAATTCTAAACCTCCAACTCTGGATTAAATAACCAAGTATGGTAAGTGCTTCTACACTTTTGGAGATATGGTCAATCTGGATTCTGATCCAGTGCATTTTCAGCAGCCCTGGAGGGTGGGGAATTTAATTGAGATTAATATGAGAATGTTAAAAAAATACTTAAAATTAACTTTTCCTTACATTAACTAATTTCCCAAATCCTTGGCTGTATAGGAACATTTATGCAAAGCTTTAAGCCAGCTTACCCAGTAATGTCAGTTCTACCAATTAATTTCTTGAATTACTGCATTCAAATGTAATAATGGCAATGATTTTCTCTTTTTTTTTTTTTCTTGGCCATGTCCTTTAAGAAACTAAAGACCTTGTGATACAAACCATATAAGTATTCTTTGTTCCTACCTCCTAATATTTTGACACATACTTCTTTGTAAATTTCTATCCTGCCTAAGACATTTATTTTTCAATGCTTTAGCATTCAACATGCTCAGATCAACTCAAAAATATTCGCTGTCAAAGTCTCACTGTTTGTGTGACTTTCTGCATTATTTTCGATGTTTTTCATATATTATGTCGGAATTTACATGGAGTGGGTTTGGGCAGGTTGAATGCTAAAAGTTTAATTGCAATGACAGAATTTACACGCAAAGGAATGGCATAGCTATGAGTTTGCCTCTTAGCTCTACTTTTATATAATTTATACATTACTAAGGAAGAAAAAGAAAAAGTTTTTAATTTCATCAAGCTAATGAGGTGTCAGAAAAGAAACGGGACTGAAGTGACAAAAAATTCATGTCAAATCCAAACTATAAGTTTTCCACTTTGAAACTATCCCCTCAAGACTAATGAACTTTCCCATTCTTCTTCACCATGCCTCCATGCACTCCTGGAAGGATTCTCCACAACTTTATCTTCACTGCCCTCTTGATGGCTTTGATATCTGGAAAAACGGGTCACCTTGATGACCCCTTTGAACTTGGAGAAAAAAATCACACAGAGCCAGGCCAAATGTGTAGGAATTTTGCTCCAGCATAGCGATAGTCATAAACAGGATCCATTTTTCCAGATGTGGGAGTAATGACAAAAGTGTGGTAGAGAATCCTTCCAAATAGTGCATAGAGGCATGGCGGAGTAGGGTTGGAAAATGCGTTAGACTCCAGGGGGAATAATTTCGAAGGGGAAAAGTTCTTTTTTTGTAACTACTGTCTTGTTTCTTTTCTGATACACTTGGTATTGGAATAGCAAAAGGTGCCTTCTTGAAGCTAGGCAAAGTATTAAGAAAAGAATACTGACCTGTTATGTAATATCAGCCCTCTTATATAGCAGTGAATGCTGGGCAAACTCCTCACAGATGCTGAAGAATCTTGAGGTAACAGAAATTTTCTACAGAAGGATGCTGAGAATACCATGGGCTGAACATGTAATGAGGAAGTTTTAAGGAAAATAGAAAGAAAAAGGACACATACTTAGAATTAGAGAGAGACAGTTGAAATTTCACAGGCACATAATTAGGAAAGAGGGCCTGGAGAATTTGACACTCACAAAATATACTGAAAGCAAAATGGACAAAGGAAAGCAGCAAATAACTTACTTAAGAAGGACCAACATTGAGCTTCATGTATGCAATAAGGCAGGGTGTTGGAAGGACTGTTTTTCCAATGACCCCACGTTTTTAACTACCTTCACTCTTTTTAGTTTTTCTGAAAATGAAAAATTATATATTTTAGGAGAATGTGATGACCAGATTTTTTTTTTTACTTCATTTAAGGTTGATAAACCATAAAAAAAAAATTAATTGATCAAAAAGAACACTTCACTTAAATCTTAATGGAAACTAATTATTGTTTTTGTTTAATTCTTAGATTTACAATGAAGTCAAAACCCTTGCTGGTTTGGAAAATCCATGTATTGTGAGATATTACTCAGCATGGATTGAAACTTGCACTCCTGGTAAGGTTTTACTTTCATAATTTAACCTCTTCTTTCATTTATTATGTTATTTCCATTATTATCCTATTGTCTCTCACTTGTTAGTTAGCACGGCCATTATGCCCTGCCAATACCTCATAAATAATGGACTATTCTGTGTTTTGATCACATCAAGAAAAGATATTACTTGATTTCAGTGAGAAAATAAAAGAAAGAAGAGAAGATAGAAGTGGAGAGAAAGAGAATCCGATGAAGCTGATAACAACACGTACTACATTTTGATCCTTGCTAAATTTGCTGTGAAGCCCTGGCAACCACATTAAAAGTGTTGCAATGAAGCTTTTTATTAAATTTTACTTGCATTCATATGTATGATCTCATTTCTGGACATGTGTGAGCAAAACTGTCCAAATGATCTAGTGGATTTCAGTGAAGAAGTAAAAGTAAAAAAAAAAAAATGAAACATTTAAAGTCTCCCACTAATATCTTATAAATACTGGAGTATGCCATTTTGTTGTATGAGAAAACAAGACAGATCAAATATGCTACTTGGTTTCAGTTAGTAGAAAGTAGCGATTGTTTCAGTGAACTGGAAAAAGTTGTCAATTTCAAATCTTTTCATTTGTATCACTTTTTTTTTTTTTTTTTTTTTTTTTTTTTTTAGCGTTTCACCCCAAGCAAGGTGGGAAGCCACTAGGACGCAAGGGGTTACAGAAAAATTTGGAGCAAGATCAGATAGGAGTGATAGAAGAAAGGATGAGGAGAAGGGTAGTGGATAGATCAAGGCAACTGGAGATGTTGATTGACATTACATTTGAATAGCTGGAGATTATAGCTCTCAGTGAAACTGGAATAGGGAAGGGAGTTCCACAGGCGAGAGGTGTGAGACATGAAGCTATTGGAGTAGAAGAGACGGCTACATTTAGGAGTTTCGACAGTGAAGGGGTGAGAGCAGGATGCCAGCCTCGTAGGGCGCTTGAACTCATGAAGTCAGGGAACCAGTGAATGCAGCTCTTCGGTGTGACGAGATGCCAGAGCAGGGCCAATTATATTGCATATCTGCCTCTGGAGCCTATCAAGCACCCCGAGGCAAACAGAAGGGGTTCCAGACCATATATGGCAGCAATACTCCATGCAAGACTACTTAAATTAATCACTAAATATTTTATTGTTGTAGAACTTACCATGAGCTTATTCAATCATTAACTTAAAGAAATAAGAAAACCATGAAATTTTCACAGGAGTAAAAACTAGTAGTAATAATAACTAGAAAGACCCTCATTAAAATTTTGCAGTTTCCTATTTCTTTAAGTTAATGATTGAATAAGCTCATGGTAAGTTCTACAACAATAAAAGATCCATAGAAATTGCCCTATCACATCGTTAAATATTTGAGCTTAACAACTTTAACAAAATATTGCATGCAATAAGAGTCATAAATATGAATGCTGGTCATTATTTTAAGAAGTGGGTACAAATGAAAAGATTTGAAATTGACAATGTTTTCATTTCATGGAAACAGACTTTGAACACTTCTATCTTTCCTTCTTTCATTTTCTCACTGAAATTAATGTGCTTTGTTTTTTTGTTTTTTTTTTTCTATGCAATCAATTGAATATTCCATTATTTATGAGCTGTTGACATGAGACGTTAAATATGTCATGTCTTTCATTTTCTTTCATTTTCTCACTGAAACCAAGTAGTGTTTTACCCCCTCTTCTCAAGCAATCAAAATGGAATAGTCCATTATTTATTAGTTATTATCCTATTGTCTCTCTTTTCATTAGTTAGCATGACTGAAATGTCTTAAATATGGCAACAAAGATGAGGACAACAGTCCAAACAATGTAAATAATTACATCATCTCAGAAATATAGACAGAAACTGTTTTCATTTCATGGAAACAGACTTTGAACACTTCTATCTTTCCTTCTTTCATTTTCTCACTGAAACTGATGTGCTTTTTTTTTTTTTCTTTTTTTTTTTTTCTATGCAATCAAAATTGAATATTCCATTATTTATGAGGTGACATTAAACACATCACTTCTATCTTCCCTTTCTTTTCTTTTTCATTTTCTCACTGAAACCAAATGATGTTTGGGCGTAATGGTTGTGCAAACTAAGGAAGGGAATGACAAGCACAATTATAATAGGGTTATTATTATTATTATTGCAAAATAATTTTTTTTTTTTTTTTTTTTTTTAACAGAAAATAATTTACCTTCTGGCTCAACTCCAACTGAAACGTAAGTTTAAATATAATTTCTGCTGATTTCTATAAACATCTTCATTACTCTCAACTTGGGATTTAAAAAATTTATATTATCCTCATACAGACATCAGCCCTAAAGTATATTAAAGAAAGACATTATATTTGTGACTAATGTGAACGCAAGTTTGTAATAATTTGCGATCCTGAATCTTGTGACTCATCAGGGTCATAGGGACACTACATGTACCTGCAGTCACAGTACATATCATGTACCTGCAGCCGCAGTACATATCCTGTACCTGCAGCTGCAGTACAAGTGGTGTTTCTAGGTAAGATAGCCTTACAGAGCCCAACTGTCTCCAGGCTAGTTTTTGAATACAGAGTAACCTTCTCCTAGACCAGTTGCCACCCTGAGCTATAGAATCCAGTCTGTCCTGTTATTTACTCATAGCTGGGGGGAAAAGAATAGGATTCATTCCTTGTTATAATTACTCATCTCAAAAATTATTGGAAAGTTAATCTCTGAGACTGTAAATGTGCAGTATAGAAATAGCAGCCGCAGACACTGGAGATGAAGTAGAAAGAGTGACTTATTGCGTCTTCTTGGCTTAAAAGTTTTCCACTGACATGAAATGAAAAGATTATATTGAATCAATTGCAAGATCTACTAGGAAAGTTGGTTAACTGAACCATGCTAGACAATTTTTTTTTTTTTCCCCCCAGAATCTATCTTACACATTTATAAGTCAACCATTCATCCCTGCATTGACAGATGCTGTCAATCTGATGTGTTGTGAGTGGCCATGGTCAAATGCAAAATAAGTAACACAACTGTCCAATAGAATTGACAAAATTTGCAATAAGTAATAAAAAGAAATAAGAAAGAACCATGCAAAAAATAATATAAAGCAAGTAAACAATATATGCAGAACAAATTAAGAGTAATATAGTAAAAAGTATATGTGTGAGATATATAAGAGAGATAATATATTTTTATATATCAAGAACAATTTTGGAAATTGTATGACAATTTGGAAAAAGTTTGTTTGATGCGTTTCATCATTCAGGACTTCCTTGGACTAAATTTGTTATGTTGGTACAAGTACACATACACACGAATAAGGAGTGTTCGGGATATATATATATATATATATATATATATATATATATAAAATGTGTGTTAGCTCTATCTCTGATACTGAGCACTTTCTATTAAGTACCGCACATATAATATATAAATAATTATATATATATGTATATATACACACACACACTTTTCTCACACATACACACACATATATATATATATATATATATATAGAGAGAGAGAGAGAGCTGAATTCATTTAGGGTCAAAAATGATTGAAAGAAAAAAAAATTCTATTATTTGTGTAATGAAATAAGATATTATTCCTTAAGTTAATGGATTTATTCGACTACTTGATGTATAGCAAATAAAGATATCATTCCCAAAGGCTGTATTATTTATTCAACTACTGGATGTGAAGAGAATATTATACCTGAAGAAATAATCTCAATTTCATCTTGGATGTTTTTGGATTACCAGAGAGGAAATAAAATGAAGTACTCTTCTGAAGTCTTATATCGTAAAAAGAACTACTGACTTTTATTTGGGCATTTTAAAGAGATTCTCTCTGTTTGCTATTATGAACATCTGAATTGACAAATTCATGAATCACGAATACTTAAACAAACACCCAACATCAGATAAGTCCCATTTATTGATTTTACGTTTTTTATCCCATATTCTGTTGTTTTTGTTATATAAAATTGTTTATAAATGTTCATTTTGTGTTTGTTTTTCATTAACACCTGTTTGGTGTATTCCTATCTGAGCAAATCTATCTTTTCTTTTTGGGGGATCTGGGGTTCACATCTATATATGTTGCAAATTCATAATACCATAAATCTAATACTATACTTAAGTTCATAAAGTCTAGGTACGATAGAGGAAAGTTCATCAGAACAATTTTCATGAAAGTATTTATAGAAAAGGCACAGGTGAGCTATGTTACAGTCGTGAGAAAGTGACTGAAACCAAGATTCCAGATCAAGACCAAAAATCATTGCAGATTCTTGTTTGGATTTTATCAAGAATCTCTAAATATATAGCAGGGGATATATGAAAATATTTGAAACATTCAAAAGAAAACACTCCCACACAAATGACTTATCCACAGTCAGAATTTGAACTTAAAAAATGAATTATATGCCTTTAGTAGACCAAAGATTCACTTATAAATTTGAAAAGTTACTTATATGTCTGCCAAAAACATGTCTACAGTTATCTACAAGCTCCGTTTTATTCTTTTCACTTTCAGAAATACTTCCAAAATCAAAGAATTAATTGATGATGACATATTTGATAGAAATGGCGATACGTGTTTACTTGCTGGAGAAAAAGATTTATCAGTGTACAGTGATAAAACTAATGACGGCAATAGTGTATCACCATCACAGGACAAGTACCCTCTAGGCCCAAATATCTTGACAGAAAGTGATGCTAAATCTCCTTCAGAAATTTCCATGATTCTATGTACGACAAATGGATCAAATAGTCCAACTTTTGCTGACAAAAATGTGAGTTTGATTTATTAAATGGCTTTCTTTCTTGACTCTATGTTTGTCAAACAAAGCGTTTTTGTTTTACGCTTGTCTCTCAAACGATTCCTTGTTCCTTCCTCCCACAACATTTTTCCCATTGTCCTCTTTGAAGCAACTTCCTCATTCCCTCTTCCACAACTTTTCATCAGTTTTCAACACATAACTGTTCTTGTTGCCTTTTTCATTTTTTTTGTGAGTGGTAATTTACGTCTTTAAGAGACTAATATTATAACCAATGTTGTCAACCCAAAAGATACACTCACTTCTAGATACAGTTGATGAATAAGATCTTATAACGTCAAATTTTCATCTTGCCAAGGATACCAAAGAAATTTGCAGTTTGGTGCCATTTCAACTTAATTAATTGCAAATGCTTTTCATCAGTTACTATTACTTAGTTAGGAACAATACGTGTTTGAATTGTTCACTGGAAGCAATAGAGAGCTTTATTCCAATCCTTTCATATATATCACATTTTTTAAAAGCCAAAAAGTGATGACATGTTTGGACGATCCTTTCACTTTTGCTTCACGACTGGCTAGGCAGAAGATTTCCCGCAGTATGTTGCCGTTTCTAACTGCAGTAGACTGGTTGCCAACTGATTGTCCTGCTATTCAGCTCATATGTGATCTGAGTGATCCTGTCTCTTGATTCATGATTACTGGCTAGGCAGAAGATTTTCCTGCAGTATGTTGATGTTTCTTTCTGTAGTAGACTTGTTTGTCAACCAAGGCCATAGGACCTAGTCTGTCCTTCTGTTCAAACCAAATGTGATACTTGCTTGGGCGATTATGTCTCTTTCAATTCATGACCAACTAGGCAGATCTTCCTCCAGTATACTGGCTGCCAACCAAGGCTACAGGATCTAGTCTGTCCTACTATTCAACCTATATGTGATACTCACTTGGGCAATCATGTCTGACTGGGCAGAAGATTTTCCTGCAGTAGGTTGCCATTTCTTTGTGCGGTAGACTGTTTGCCAACCAAGGCTATAGGACCCAGTCTGTCCTGCTCTTCAACTTTAATCTGGGATTGGAAGAGATGGATTTTTTTTTCCCAAGGTCATATTTCCATGTAAATGAATTTAAGGAACTTGTCTGGAATTCAAAAATGGTTCTCCGATTTCTCATTCCAAGCCATTATCGATCACACCAAAGTGCATCCCAGTATGCACTTTACTGAATGAGAATTGTCCTTTGGGAGGTCCCTGTTTTTTTATTTTACTTGCCTCATAATCTCTTGCATTTTTGTATTGTAAATGTGGATGTGCAGCTGGTGTATAGTGAATAGCAGCACTTGGAATGAGAAATCAGAGACCTGAGTTCTAATCCCAGTTACAATCGTTAGATTTATTTATTTACAGTCGTTAGATTTATTTATGTGTAAATACCCTTGAGAAAGGCATGAATCCAACTTCTCTTCACATTGCTATAGGTTAAATAGTAGGACTTGTCTGGAAAAATATTTGCTAAATTCAAAAAATCAATTTAATATTTCATCAGAAAAATAAATAAAAAAAAAAAAAAGACAAATTGTTCTTTCAGTCCAAAATATATTTTGGCTTTTGAGAAACAAATCAAGCAATAGGATTTTATCCCATTACTGTTTATTTAAAAATGCATTTTTTTGTTAAATTTTCATATATGATTTGATTGATTTGTTTTTTTATGGCTTATCAATCTTTTTGCATGTTATATAAAGCCAAAAAATATTTTTATTAGGTTGTAACACATGAAGTGATGCACTTTATAGGAAATGAATAAAACTCTAAGATGTTAATTAACTAATTTATTTAATTGAAATAGGCACCATGTTGATGAATGACTGTTGTCCAACATACTTCTAAATTCTTGATCCCATCTTTAAAAATTCTCATCCTTTGATGTGATAAACTGTCCAAATGCTTCAATTACTTCTTCCTTATTAGAGAATGTTTTATTGCATTTGAAAACCTGCAAAGGCTTAAGTGATAATAAGAGATATTAGATAAATATGGAGGATAAGGCAAAATTTTATAATTAAGGCTATGTCGCTTTTGGACAATTGACTGAGAAGCATGTGGCCATGCGTTGTCATGCAGTGAAATTGGACCATACCTATTCACAAGTCTAAGATGTTTCTTCTTTGATTTTTCGTGCATATACTCAATTTCTCCACAATATGAAATTGCTATTATTGTTTTCCCTTGAGACAAGAATGAATAACCCCTTTGAAAGACCACCATAGAGTAACCATTAATTTTTGAGGGTGCAGTGAAAGTTTGGGGTATTGTTTCGATGATTCACTTGCATCTAACCACTGGCCTATTCTCTTACTGTTGTTAAAGAGTATCCATTTCTCATTGCATGTAATGATTTGATGCAGAAATGATTCTTTTCCCCAGTTTGTATTCTCATACAGTAAGATTACTCAACATTGTTTCATTCTAATCATTTTTGTTGGGCTTATCAGTAACAATATATCAAAAGAAAATTTATCTAGAAAGTAAGTCAGGAATAAGTCAAAATTTTTTTTATATACTTATTAAAGGAATTATTTAATAAAAATATTTGTCTTCATTATTGATAACAATCTCCCACCTATTTGGCAAATTTGTTGGTATCTTTGGTATAAAATTCTTTGTATTTTGAATCAAAGTACCACTCAATATATACTTTAATCTCTTCACAATTAATAAACTGTTTTGACAGTGATAAATGTTACACTTACCTGAAAAGATGATAGCCAGATGAAGCAAAGTCAAGAGAGTAAAGAAGGTTAAGGTAAAACCTTTGGTATTTAATTCCCTGGTATTTTCTTAGTGGTTCATGAAATATGGTGTCTTGCATTATCATGTGGGGCTAACATGCTTTTATAATTAAATATTTTTTTATGCAATGCTTCCAGTTGACTGCAATTGTTCTCTATATTTATGGTTTCATTTTGGTTTTGCACTGTTATGGGCAAAATGTGGCCCTCAGGAGGCCACCTGCTGCCTGTTTGACTTTCTGAATGGCATGCCTAATTTCATGAGAAAAATAATGTTTATTAAAAGTTTTCTTTCATGATCACTTGTTCATTCACACATTCTGAACAAGGATTAATTAAAATGGTTCTTGAATTTTGTAACTTTTCGTTGAAGGTAGCATTTACATCCTTGGCAATTTTTCAATATGGAAGATCATAAGTGTAAGCATCTTTTGCTTTAGAAACAAGACATTCATAATCATTTTTTCTCCTTTTTTTTTTTTTTTTTTTTTTTATTTTCAAATCAATAAGAAACAGAAGCCATGTAACAATTTAATTAATGAGAACTCAAAAGACCTGTGAAAATTTCCCTATTTTAATTTTCTGATGAATCTTGACTTTTAAGTTAGTGATTGAAAAGCCCATAGCAAGTTCTAGAACAATAAAATATCTATCTGTAGAAATTTCTCTCACATCATTAAATATTTGAGTGAACAAAATATTTCAATAACAATCATAAATATGAATGCTGGTTGTTATTTTAAGAAGTAAGGGGGACAATAGATTTGAAATTGACAACATTTTCCATTTCACTGAAACAGCAGTGAAACACTTGTACCTTCCCTTTTCTCTGAAATGAAGTTGTCTTTTACCCTCTTCCATATGTTAAAAACAGAATAGTCCATTATTTATGAGGTATTGACATGAAGCATTTTATCCACTTTTATTTCTTTCTAGCCAAATCCCAATCTTACTAACATTATTTTAATAATAATTTAAAAGTAATTCAGCAGACAATGTTATTATTTTGTTTCATTTATGATAATTGGATTTTTGGCAATTCTGTCATTCAATAATTGGCGTCTGAAAATGACTTTATACTTTTTATCGCAGTTACCATCACTTCTTGGCCTTTTGGTTGAGATCTAAGTGTAGTATTTGTTTTTATCACCTTAAGATAATTCTCTGTCTCCATTTTCATCTTTTTTTTTTCTTATCATTTTCTTAAAGAAACCAAGTAATTTATTTTCCCCTCTTTCCATGCATTCAAAATGTGCAATAGTCTATTATTTGAGATATTGGCAGGACGTAATGGTTGTGAGAACTAATAAAGAGAAGAATAAGCACAATTACAATAGCACATTAATAAGATTTCTTAATTATTGAGAAATCTTTTCTCCAAAAACAATCAACCATTGCCAATTTGTCAGGCAGATTATTACGCATATGGTCTTCTGTGGTGACACCTTCAACGAAAAATTACTTTTTAGTAGTGCCCCCACCTTATAATGAGCCATATCTGCCGTGGCCCACAATTCAGAAAAGGCTACCCATTCTTGCTTTAGCACTTTATGATCGATAACACCCTTGATATCCTACCAAACATAAAGCTGAGCTTTTCTGGATGTGGTCCTGGTTTTTGGATGGTCTCCTTTTAAAATGGTGTTTGCTTTTTTTTCTTTTTCTTTTTTTTTTGTTTTCTTTTCATTGCATATCATTATAGAGAATTAAATTTTCATCACTGGTGAGGAATCTATCCAGGAAAATGCCTTTCAAAAGGTAAGAAATGTATTAAGGCACATAAAAACATCAATAGGAATAAAGTGCTGAACTGTTACGTAATATCTGTCCTCCTTTATAGCAGTGAATGTAAGAAAATCTCCTTACAGATGAAGTAACAGAAGGATGCTGAGAATACCATGAACCAAATAATGTGAGCAACAAAAAAAGTTTTAGAGAAAATGGAAGCATAAAGGATTTATACTTTACATCAGGAAGTGATAGTTGAAATAATGAGGAAAGATGGCTTGAAAAATGTGACACTCACATGACAGATTGAAGGCAAGAGAGACAGAGGAAAACAATGCATAACCTACCTAGTGAACTTGAGTAGATGGATGATGAAACAAGATTTAGGTGAGATAAGAAAAAAACAAAATCTATGAAAAACTACAAAGGACAGGAAATTGTGGAGAACTCGGATTGCCCATCTCCTGAAAAGACATGGTACATAGAAGTATAATATTACATAGGTTATGCACCATTTTCCTCAATCCTTTTTACCTTTAATCTGTTTTGTGCTTGTCAAGTTTTCTAAGTCCTCATTCCTTATTATGCACCCTGGAAATTTTAACTACTCTTTTGATGTTAAATATGTGCCCATTTTTATGCCATTTTCTTTAAAACTTCATCATTGCTCACATGCTCAGTACATAGTATTCTTCTGTATTCAGTGTCCTTCTGTAGAACCACATTTCTATTGCCTCAAGTCTCTTCTTTATCTGTTAGGAGAGTGTCCAGCATTCGCTGCCATAAAGGAGGGCCGATATCGCATAACAGCTGAGTAGTCTTTTCTTTGTTTCTAATTAACTTTTCGTGCTTCTTAATACATTGCTTAGTTTTTGAAAAGTATTTTTTGCTATCCAAATGTTTTTTAATTTTTATGGTCCTCAAAACTGACAGAATTTCCATGTTTATTTGAATCTACAGCAAAACCTGTCCACTTTATTTATTCAAATGGAATTGTGCAAAGAGACTTTACATGAATGGCTGCAGAAAAGAAATTCTTCAGAATTCTCAAACAGAAGTAAATACATTTTCTTTTCTTACTTTTCACTTTTGGTTGCCTTTCTTTTTGTATTATTATTTTAACTAATATTTATTGTCATTTTCTTTTCCTATTCCAGTCATTACTGATTCCAGAAACTGGACCATCTTCCAGGAAATGTTAAAAGGTGTTGTTTGTATCCATGAAGCAGGAATAATCCATCGAGACTTGAAGGTATTTGAATCTTTCAGATTTTACAAAAACAAAACAAAATGAATAAAATCTAACCTTTTCCTTGTTGTCCCCAAACCTATGCTACACTCCTCTCACTTGATATTCCTCACATCTGCCTCCACCAAACGCCTTTTCCTTATTGTCCCCCCAACTTAAGCCAAGCTTCTTTCCCTTGTTGTCCCCTCCCTTATGCTACGCTTATTTTCCTTGTTGTCCCCCACTTAGCTACGCTCCTTTCTCTTATTGGTCCCCACTTCCACCTCAGCCAAGCTCCTTTCACTCATCTCCTCCTTAAACCAAGCTCCTTTTCCTTGTTGTCCCCCACCCTTTATCCCACAATCCTTTCCCTTGTTATTCCTGACATCTGCTTGCAATAAGAGCTTTTTCCTCATTGTCCTCTGCACCTTAAACCAAGTTGCTTTTCTTTGTTGTTCCCTACCTATGTGCTACTTTTTCCCCCACTTGTTTGTCCCCACCTCTGCTTGCACCAAGCTCTTTTTCCTTGTTCCTCCCCTCATGCCAAGCTCCTTTTCATCATTGTCCCCCATTTAAGCCAATCTCGTTTTCCTCATTTGCCTGATTTAGTGACATCTTTTCTAATGGCTCTTTTCTTTTTTACTTTTGTAGCCTAGTAATATTTTCCTGACAGATAAAATGAAGGTCAAGATTGGAGACTTTGGTTTGGCAACCAGCATCCCGCAAATAGAAGGGAATTTAGATCTGGAAGGTCAGTTCTTAACCAATTTTATCCTCTTCTCTAAATTTGGACAACCAAGTCTTTTGATCTTCCGTGTGTGTGTATGTGTATATATATATATATATATATATATATATACTGTTTTTGATAACATCACCAAAGAGGAAGGCAGAATCACATACAATAGGGAATCTCCTTTCTAGATTTCTTATTAAAGAATAAAAATAGAATTATGTTTAAATTCTTTTTTTTTTACTTTACCTTTAAAAAAGATGAAATATAAAATAAAGGATTTTTTATATAATTCTTTTTGACCCAAATCACCCAAGAGGAGAGATGTTGTATGATCCGTTCCTTTCAACAACTGTTGAAATTTGGATTTATTAAAAATAAAGGAGTTCTGGCAAAAATGGACATAATTTAAAAAAGGACAGGTTTTCCCATGGCACCACATTTTTAACTACTTCCACTCTTTGGAAATGTTTTAAAAAGAGATGATTTACAGTTGGAATAAAACCTAAACACAGGATGAATGGGAATTTATACATTTTTTTTTTTTTTGTTAAACACGATTTATTTATTAGATTATTTATTTACAAGAACAATTTTATATTTACAGCATTCTAAAAACTAATAGAATTAAAACTAAATACAATGCAATATTTATCATTTATAAAGAAATAAATATGAAAACTTTTTATTCATAAACATTTAAAATGTGTGAACCAACTATAAAGAAATCCTTCTTTACCATTTTATAATGTCCAAATCAAGTGTCAATTAGCTGATATTTTGCCAAACATTCCACTAAATAATAGTGCAAATAAACAATCTCATAAATAAGTCATGTTTATTATTATTGTTGTCAATTCTAGCACTAGTTATATTCAGTAGCCAGACTCAGACAAACCTTTTTGTTATTGTTCAATCCACTCATTAGGTGGTATTAACAATTGTCTGCCAATTTTCTCATTTTGATTATTTTTATATTAAGTTGAAAATAATTTATGCACTTTTTATTAGTGTTATTTTATTTTATTTCATTTTTTTTTATGTGTGTGTGTGTATGCATGCATGTGTATATATACTCCTGCACATTTGTGTATGTGTACATGGGTATAATTTTGTGGTTTTATAACGTGATTTTTTTTGTAGTCTTGAAGATTGATTGAGAGCTGCTTTTTTTTTTTTTTTTTATTCCTCATGAAATAAAAATTCTTACTGATGTGATTTTAAATGTTTGATATTCTTTAATTATATATATATATATATATATATATATATATATATATATATATATATAATAATGCATACACAGAGATTCCATAAAGTCTCATTACAATTTTTAAAATTATTACAAAGGCAAATGAACAGACAAATATGCGGAAATCCTTATCAAATTAAGAATAGATATTGAAGCTTTTTTTAATTTAATACGTCTCTATATGGGCACCATTACTTGCATGAATCACACCAAGACAGTACTTGATTTCTTGCCATGTTCTTATCAATGGTGGCAATGGAATCCATGATCTTCTGCTTTAGATCAATAATGTCCCATATCTTTGTTTGATACGCGATCCTTTTAACATAACCCCGTAGAAACAAGTCCAGGAGAGTGATATCTTGTGAACTAGGTGGCCAGGGAATTAGACCATTCCTTCCAATCCACCAGTCTTGAAATATCGAGAGTTCATTTAGCAGTATGTCTTTAATCAACTGGTTGCCTGAAGTACACAAATTCAGTGTTATTAAAATACTGTGATAATTACTGAGTACATAAAATAAATCTGATTAAGATATATCATCAGTTGTCTTTTTTAAATTTTAAAAAGACTTTGAAAAGCAGGAGTCAGCTTAACATCTTCCCTTCTGAATATCCTGAATGCATGAATTATTTTTTTTTTTTTTGTTTCAGAGAGGTTTATGTGAAACTGACCCAAGTAATCGCTTTCCAACTGACAGTCTCTCCATATAAGCAGTACCATGTTCACAAGCATACTGTCTATTGTCTCACATGGTATTTTTATGCCAAGCTGGTATTGAAAAAAATTTGCATACACCCAACCACTCTTGTCAATTCTTTTAGCTCAGAGACCATGTCTTTCTTAAATGAATGTATTAGGGTGGCCATATTTCTTTTTCCTTTATTCATTTGGTACACCAGGCATATACATGCTCACTTTGCTACACGAGGTAAGTCATCTTCTCTTCTACACTCCTCCCTGATCACATAAATGACACAGAGATGGTGGTTGTCTTTGTCAAGTGCTTCTCAGTAAAGGTGGATGGGATCTGCTTGTCTTATCTGCATTTGTACCCTCTTGGTCTCTCTCATTATTGGCATCATCATTGCCATCTTCGGCATCTGGTTCCGTAGATGAATAGTCTGGTCCTGCATGGAAAAACAGTGGCTAAGTTAAGTTGCTTTTATACAACTTTTTGTCACTGCTGTCATCTTCTGACGATGCAGATCTCTGACGTGGGTGGAGGTCTGTCTTTGATATGGCATGGCATTCCATTGATGAGAACTAGATGTGGGCTGTAGACCCCTGTCAGTCTTCTTTTTTGAATTGTCAAACATCAACCATGTGGGGACTTTGACCATACTACATCTCCTACTCTGTAGATTCCAGGATCTCTGTGTTCAACTGGTGGTGCAACATAGATACCCTTTATGTGGGCTTGATAGTTATATATAGAGTTAGCAGGTGCCAATGAAGCTGTTGCATCATCATTGTTGCTGTCATGTTATACCAATATAACGCATCCACGATGGAATCACGACTGATTAGCGATATGCTTGATGGTGTGATGGCATCTCTCCTCAATGCCATTCCCTGATAGTTGATAGGCACGCTGGAATCTAAGTCAGATGCTCCAGTTCTCTGCAAACCTCACGAATGCCTCCCCACAGAATGCTGCACCATTGTCAATCGGCAGCTCAGCAGGTGGCTCTCTCTTGCAGAATAGCTGCTCCAACCATTAGATGATGCTGGTAGCGTCTTGATGTGGTAACCATCGCCAGATGAAAAACCAACTAGGGCCACAGTTTATCTGAGTCAGGTAATGCTGGCCTTCATAATGTGTTATGTCCATCCCCCACCCTACTCCAGTTCTTGCATACATCCAGCTTTTCAATACACTGGCACCAGGTCTATGGATTAGCACACTTCGCACTCTCCAACCACCTCCTGAACAGCTGCCTTTGTGACCTCAGGGTCTATCCGTCATACAAAAAATAATGGATGCTTTACACCAGGGTGCCTACTATGTCGATGGATGGCATGAATGTAAGTGGATTCCTGTTCTTCTATATATTCGGCACACACTTGTTTTTTTTGTTTTTTTTTCTTTTTCTTTCCAAACTGCATCCAGCCAACATTGAGGCACTCTGGTGAGCTGATCAGCTTGGGATTTGACGAGCTCTATGTCAATAGTCAATTTGTATTCCTCCACCAGTTCCTTGATTGTACTGAGTCGATGTCTTATTAGCATTTCTGTTGCCACCTTTGTGCACACTCAAGTCTTTCCAGACAACGTATCTGAAACCTATCGATGCACACATGTTGAGTTAGTCATCAGGTGAACCATAGTCACTCTCAATTGTATTGCCATGTTGATGCCTCTCAAGATTGCATTGAGCTCTGCCAGGTTGATATACTTGCCTTCATGATTTGATCACAGCCAATAGGCATCTTCAACCAGGTATTCACCGCTTTCCACAACAAAATCAGTGGCCAAGGACTTTGCATCAACCCACATGGTGACTTTGTGTCCATCAATACACCAATCACCCTGTACCGAATCCTTTTTTGTCAATCTGATAAAGATTTCTGTCAGCATCAAGTCAGAGGTGGGTCCTGCAGCTCATTGTCCCAGTCAGTCATCACAGAATTTGCATGCCGTTTGATGAATGCAGTTGCGACACGGAGCCAGCCACATGCTACACAGGGAGAAGATGCTCCGACTAGTAAGCACGTTAGGCAGCAGTGCAATGTCACTCCCACGACTCCATTGCAATTTACCCCACACTTCTCAGACATGCAATCCCAGCAAGCAGCTGCCACTCTCTAAACACTCTGGATTCTTAATTGTTAGCCCAAATCACTGAAGATGTGCCTTTACATATACTGCAGTGCATACACTCTGATTGACAAATATGTCATCGCTATACAAGGACATGGCCTTCTGAATGGCCATGTGTGACCATGGCATTCACAATTAATTGCATGATTAGCAGTGCCATGTTGAACCCAAAACATAAATGAGTGGGGCAATATCTTTGCCCATTAATCTTCACTATTTGAAAGGGCCATAATGCTTTGTCAACATGGGCCTGCAAATAGGCACAGTGCAAATACGGTATGACATCTGATCCTTCCTGTCACCACTCCTTCAACTTTTGCACGCAAACATCTGCATCATCTGTGTGCATGTCACCATATTGATGTAGCTCCTGATAATCCATGACTGGGTGGACCTTCTGTTTGTTTTCCTGCAGCACAGCCATTGGAGGAATCGGACTCTTGGGAATCCCAAGTTCTTCCTCGGGATACAGAAGTAGCTAGCTGTTATCCATCCAGGTTCGTAGCTCACAAATATACTCCTCCCTGAGCAACTTTCGTGCTCTCCAGTTCTTCAACACAGGTGGTATCTGGTCACTAGACCACTTCAAGACACAACCTAAATCTTCCTCTTCTGGTCATACTCCACATGGAAGTCGGACTCATTGATCGTGATGGCTGCACACAAGTGTCGGTCAAGTTGAGGAAAGTTCACAGTCCCATTACTGGTCACACATACTCCTCCCAACTTCTTGATGTCATATCTGAGCAGTAGGTCAAAACCAAGCAATTTTCAGTCTATAAACAGAACTTCAACATTGATAGGAGGCCTGTTGCTCATGTCAAGTTGAACAATTCCTACCCCAGAGAACCTAATAGCCCTTTCACCAAAAGTGAGCACATCCACTTGTTTCCTCTTCCAAGAGCGACAAAGCGGTCTGCCTACAAGCAACCATGAACAGCCTGTGTCTAACAAGGCTAAATTCCTGATTCCATTTGTGCGTACAGCAATTGCAAGTAGTGCCTCTATCATATGGGGCTCGGGGAGTAGACTGGTGCTGAGGCCTATTTCCCTGGCAACTGCAGACTACATGATCTACTGCATTGCACTTGTAATCTTGTATCCAGGGGTGTCTGCCTTTTGTGTGCGGTACTTTGTAGTCCTTTGCAAAATGAGTTGGACTGTTGTGACAATAGTATCTTATGGAACCATATAGAACCCCAGTATTAAGCTTCCTCACCTCATTCCATGTTGTTCGTACTGTTGCAACTGCCAGACCCTCCTCCAGTACCCTCCATGACTGTTCACACACAAGCCAACAGATGGTCGATAGAAAATTCGCCCATCCAGGTCAAAGCATGAAGGAGATGTTTAACCTGGTCTGGTAACCCTCACACAAACACACATGCCAGGCTATGGTCACTCATTCCACCGAACAGAACGGAAAGTTTCCCTAATTCCACCAGATAGACATTTACTGGTTCTCTAGGACAGAGCCATCATTCAGCAAATTGCTCATAAGCCAAAAAATCACCTGTAGCAAAACCTGTGGATTTTATCTGGCTGTAATCCTCTTTTTTTTTCTCTCTCAGCTGCTGGTAGACAGCATGTGCACCACCCATTAGCCTTAAAGGACTACGTGTTCTGGATATTTTACTTGGCACATCTTACAAACCAACTCAGCCTTCTCAATCCATTCAACCGCAGATGGTCCAGATGCAGAGCTGTCAAACTTTGGGATGAGTCTGAAGTCAAACTTCCCATCCATTATTTTCGCCAAAATAGCTTGTGTGAAACTGATCCAAGGAATCGCTTTCCAACAGTCTTTCTGTATAAGCGGCATCACATTCATGAGTGTACTGTCTATTCTCTCTCGTGTGGTGTTTTTATGCTGAGCTAATTTCACTAAAAATTTGCATACGGCCAACCACTCTTGCCAATTGTCCTAGCTCCAAGACTGTTTCTCTTTTAAATTCATGTGTTAGGGTGGCCATATTTCTTTTTTCCTTTCCTTCACACGTTTTGCACACCAGGCATATACGTGCTCACTTTGCCACACGATGTAAATCATCATCTCTTTTACAAGGCTCACCCTATACAAGGCCTGGGATCCACTGCAGGTAGAGGGTTACAAACCAAGACACACTGTTTATGCTGATATGTCAGGAATATAATGGTTAATCGTAAACTTGAACAGATTAAGATTGTAGTGCTCGGGGAAGACGTCCTCTTGTGAATCAGTTCCACAGAGCAGTAGTTTGCAGGAATAAACTACTTGAGTGGTACGTCACACCAATGAAATATGAAAGAAATGAGGATGGTTCATTACAATGTGAATAGCATTGTGGGTCCTAGCCATGATGCTTAGAACTGGTGGAACTAAGGAATGTAGTTCATCTGAACACTTTCCATGGAAGTAGCGATAGAGCGATGAGACACTTACAACATCTTATCTGTGAGAGAGAGAGGTTGGAAAATAATTTGTCACCCACAACAAATCACAAGACATGCTTTTGGACTCGATCAAGACTGGAAAGTAACAACTGGGCAGCTCCTGCCCAAATATGACAGCAGTGCATTATTTTAGGCCTTATCTGGCTCTTATAAAGGTAGAAGATAGCACAGGGAGTTTAGGTACTTACTGGAGCAGTACAAAGAACTAACCATTTTTCTTGCCTCTTTAGTGATGGAGTGTTTGTACCTGTTCCACTTGAGGTGTGGGTTGTGTCTGAGGCCTAATAGTCACTCAAGGCACTGGGCTTCCCTGAGGGAACATCCATTTATCGTGATTTGTTGCAGTTCAGGGTCTGATTGGCAATGATGGGATATAACTAGTTTGATTTCTATTTTTATAACAGATTTTTCAATTATGTTGTTTGTTTTTTTCCTTTCTCTTAGGAAATGTGACGACACCTCTCTCAAAAGGTGTAGGTACTGCAATGTATTCAGCTCCAGAACAGAAAACAGGATGCAATTATGATAATAAAGTAAGTATATTAATCATATTTTCATATATTTAAAAAGAAAACAAATGTCTATATTAATTAAACTAATTAATAATTAATTAACTGAAATTAATTGAAAGAAAGTTTAACCTTTAGCATGCTGCATTATTAACATTACTTCCATTTACACCGTTTTCTTTTTCAAGATCTCTCATTTGTTAATTTCACTCAGTGATTAACTGTTGCCATAGCAGGATATGACAACACAACTATAGTAGGATAAACTTTTTGTACAGCATATGAAGTCATATACAGAGTGATAAAGGTTAACCTTGACACTGCTAGTGCTGTAAATTCCCTTCACAGTATCTCTTGTTTTTAAAAAAAAAAAAAAATGATGATTAGAATTTTAATAAAACCCAAACATATGAAAGTGATGTATAGATTATTTACATTATTCAGACTGTTGACCTCATCTCCATTGCCATATTCATAACATTTCTGCTGTTGTACACTTCGGCTTTCTTCAGGTGATTGGAATTTCAAACTGAACCCTTTATTTCATCCACTGGGGTAGATTATTCTAGTTCCATGTGCCACGCCTCTTCTGGATGTCTCACTATCAGTTATCTCCCTTTAACTCCAAGTTTTTGTTCACCTCTACAGGAGCCAGTTATTGAACTCATAACACTCTGGGTGAAGTCAGTGGATTCAACCAATGCTTTTATCCACAGTACACAAATTCCAATCACCTGAGGAAGGTCAGAGTGTACAACACTGCAACATCGTGAATATGGTAACTAAGATGAGGACAAGAGTCCAAACGGTGTAAATAGTTAAAATACCTCATCTCAGAAATATAGACAGCTATTGATGTATAGATATTTTTTCATTGTGTACTGATATGTAAATTACTAATTAGCATAGGTGAGGTATAGACAAGGTAAAGCCCTAGTGGTAAGAATAAAGCAGTTTTTGGTATGTAAGATAAACGACTGCTGCCTGACTGATAAAATACTAAGAAAATCCCAAACCCTCTGAAATGTTCGTATTAGAGATTTTGGCATGAATGCTAAGCAGTACAGCATGCTCTTTCCTAATTTCTGGTTGAGAGAATTGCATCAGGGTGCTCTTTTTCTTACAGATGGTGCCCAGAGGACCCTACTATACTGTGAAGTTAACAAAATCAAAAACAAAGTGCATGTGTGAAATTAAAAATACAAAATCACAACAATTTGCCCATTGCACTTTGTAAAATGAAATCTTTATTTATTCATTCATTTGTTGTGTTACTTAGATTGCTAGCACATTTCTGTTTATCTCTTCTACAGCCTTCAGTTCTATAGCCAATAAGAAAAGAGTTAGGGGGTGTCTGCCTCTCTCTGTCTTCTCTCTCTCTCAATAAATTTTGAAAATATATGGTAGCATTTATATCAACTCACCTGCAATGAAGGCCAGAAAATGGATCTACTGAACGCTGGCAACAGTAAAAGCAATATCACAAATTCAGTCATCCATGCAAGTCTTATGATGCTAATGTGACATTTAAAATAACTGCCTGATTTCATAAAATGTTTTTTTTTTTCTTTTACACCCCAGCATTCTCAATTGACTTTTTCATTGAAGATGCCAGCTTTACCATTCTGTGTGACTAACCATATTTATGTTCTTTCTGTTTTTTCTTAGAGTGACATCTACAGCCTTGGATTGATTCTCTATGAAATGTATCATCCTTTTTATACTGACTTTGAAAAAGTGAAATTATTTGAAGAGTTGACAAAAAATAGAAAAATTAGTGAATTTGTCATGAAGAACTTTCCTGAGAAAGTGAGTTGGCTTGTCCTTGAGTTTTCTATTTCTTCTCTTTACAATACAAAGCTATTTAAAAAAACAATTCATAGTTGCTGTCTTTTGCAAGAGGTAGATTCTCTTTAGAAACTCTTACGTATCACTTTCTAAGACTTTCAAGAAGTAATGGATTATTTATTTATTAATCTGGCAGATCTTATTACTTAAACCAATGCTTCCGAAATTTTTTTTTTCTCTGATCCACATTTTCAGGATGAAAATTTGCTTGTGCTTCACCAAAGGGAAGTCCTGGTGAAAAGGCATAAGCAGCCCTATGGCATAGAAGGTCCAGAAAGAGGATTAAAGGGAGATAACTGCAGATTCAAAGTTGGGACATTATTATTGATAACTCACTCCTCCAATTTGCAGAACAATACTTGATATAATGCAATAATGTCACAATGATAAATACGCTGATTAATAAATAAATGTATCATCTACTCAAATATGAGTATCAAGTTATATATATATATGAGACAATTTGGTAAAGCTAATAGACAGCCTGTTAGGTTTGGCTTCTTCAAAAAGTTTAGACTGTGTATAAGGAAAATGCATTGTGATTTTTGTGGATAAGAGGGCAGTAAATTAAATTACCTTATTACCTTACCATATACAACAACCAAAGACCAGAGAAGTATTTGTTTCTTGTATATATATATATATATATATATATATATATATATATACACACACACACAGTGTGATGGATAAATTATTATCAAAATTATGCAAAAGTGAAAATAACACTGACATCTCATTTTAATAGATATATTTACCAAAATTGCACAAAAATATCTTGAAATACTAAAGCGTAAATTTATTTAATAAAATCACCACTGGCTTCGGCCGAGGACTCCAGACGACTTCAGAATCTCCTGCAACTCATCCAGACAGTCTCCTTGTTTAAGTTGGTGAATGCTGCTATAATCCTTGCCTTCAGTTCATCTTTGGTGTTACACGGGGTTTAGTTGGTCTCTTTCTCAATTGCACTCAACACATGATCATCAAGTGGGTTGCAGTCTGGGGAGTTAGGTAGCCATATGTAAGGGGTGATGTGTTTACAGAAATTGTCTGACAGCTATGACGGGGTTCTCCTACTTGTGTGGCATTGTACAGAGTCCTGTTGCTAGACATAGTCTTCCAACAGCCACCCTTTTCACCCAGGCCTGGCCAAGGCAATTGGAGGCCTCTGTGTTGTCTGAGGCTCTTGCCAACAAATTCAGGAGTTCTTTTCTTTACACAATGCTCAAAGACTTTTCTGAGATGCCATACCTTCGTAATCACCAGATTCCAGAATTAGACTCCTTCAACTCTTTCCAAATTCATTCCATGGTGCTCAGGTTGACACCCAAACACTCTCCAGTGTTTCTATTTGATGTTCCGCTGCTAATGCCAAGCTGTACAGCATGCCATTTCCAAATTTCTCACAGAGTGAATTGCATCATGGTGCTCTTTTTCTCACAGACTGTGCCCAACCGATCCTACTATACTGTACAGTTGACAGAATAAAGAAACAAATGCACATGCATGAAATATAAAATGGAAATAATTTACGCACACTATCTATCTATCTATCTATCTATATAAACACTCAGTAGAAAGTGAGGAAAAAAAAAAAGAACAGGGAAACAGGAAAAGGAGAATTAATGGCAACATAGTATATACAGACACTCATACACTCAAAGTAGAAAAAAATCTACCTGACACCAAAAACTAGCACACAAATTAATTTTCAACTTAATACAAAATTGCCACAACCTCCTAACATGTGACCAGGATGATTGCAAAATGATTCATCTATGAAACTGTAGAGTCAAGGTGCTTAATATGACATCAATCAACTAAGTGACAAATTTTATTTGTATTAATTATACATATAATTTGGTGTTGAATTTTACCAACATGCCTTTCACATGCATATATATATATGAGACCTGTTAGTGCCTGTCAAATTTTATCAACACATGTCACATTTAGCTTTCCCACATCATCTCATCATGTATACTTTTGTTACTATTATACATCATCTGACAGACACACGTGTGTGCACAAAGAGCAATTTCTGTTTCATGCAGAAATGATTCTTATAATGATATGTTTTTAGAGATAAACTTGACATCGAGTAGAAATATATATATACTATTGGTTGATGCTTTCACTGTTTGAATTTTTTGTCTCACCACTTCAGGTAAATTTAATTCTGGCCATGACTGATTCAGACCCGACAAAACGACCAACAGCGAAAGATGTGCTGGAGCAGGTGCAACCGCCTTCAATAGAAGTAAGTAAAAGATCTTTCCACTGGATCTAAAATGCCATTCGTATAGTTCTTTATATTAAACTGTCATTAGATTTGTATTTTCAACCTGGTCTGTTTGCTACCGCCTTCTTTTTTTTCTTGTCTACCATAAAGGAAATATAAAAGTGTTAGCTTCAAACAAACTTCCCAAAAATAGAAGTTAAGAAAGAAAAAAAAATGGCAAATATAAGCAATGAGATAAATTTCTCTTGTGTCTTATTAATCTGATTATTTTATGAGTGTTTGGTTTCTGTTTGCAACAGCTTTGTATCTTAACTCTTTGAGTTGGTTGTTTTATCATGGACAGGGGTTTTAGCAGCATATCATTCCCTATGCCCAGCAACAAAACCTTTGATTTGGAGGTTTTGAGGAATGTGGAACCATCCATTAATTGCTGTTGTTCCCAGGTTTTCCCTGACCAAGAGTGGTAACACCTGTTAGGATCCTAGCTATAGGCAAATAATGACCTGCCCCCTCTCCCCAAAATACTATGAAAATAGGAAAATAAAAAAAAATATATTTTTTTATAGTAAAAATACCAAAAAAAAAAAAAAAAAAATTACCAGCAATATATATTCATAGTAAAATTACAAACAATACATTTTTAAAGCAAAATGACCAGCAGTACATTTCATATTAGAATTACCAAGAAGATGCGTTACACCAAAATGACCCAAAAAAACATTTTATCTGTACTTGAAGGCTGTATGTCTTCAAGTACAGATAAAATGTTTTTTTGGTCATTTTGGAGTAATGTGTATGTATTGCTGATAATTTCTTTTTATACAAAAAATGTACTGCTGGTATTTTTACTATAAAAATATTTATTTTTATTTTTCTATTTTCATAGTATTTTAGGGAGATGGACCGGGTCATTATTATTGCATTCTGGGCTCAAAACACTATGAAAGTATAAAAATACATTTTTATAGTAAAAATTTCCAGCAATAGATTTTTAATAGTAATAAAAAAAAATTTTCTAGGAATATATTAGTAAACAAAAATAAAAAAATTACTAAATAAAATTAAATTTTGGCATTGAATGACCCGTAAGGAGTTGATATCCTGTTAAACAAACTAAATATATCACCTTTTGTTGGTGATTTAAATATTTCAAACACAATTTCATTTTATTTTTGGAGATAATAATGGTTTAAATTCAGCTATGCACTTTTTCACTGTTGATAAATCTGGAGCAACATCCCTTAATGTAGCAACCATATCTACATGAATATCCTTGGGTACTAAACTCTTTTTTTCTGTGGGTACTTGATGACACTATTGTGTAAATATTTCCATTTCCAAGGAAAGTCACAACTAGTTACTTTTGAAGTCTACTTTGAACAGTTAAATATCAGTTTACCTGGAAAGAAACAATACATTTATTAATAAGAAAAGTTGAAATTAATTCTTGCAAGATTTCACAGTTCTAGCATCACTCCTTCATAGTCAACCTATAAACTTTGAAGACCACTCTCATAGTAACAAGTGCCATGTAGATATAAATATTCACTAGTGAGAAGTTATCAAAGATTAATGCTATGGTGCATGACTAATGAGGTATTACCGATGTTGCCTTGCAGCTCAGACTGGACACCAGGTTCATTGACAGGGTGCAGTTCCTTAAAAATGCTTGTGGCTTAAAATTTACCCTTAGTCAAGATTCTTTACCCACAAGGGAAAAAACAAAAGTTTCTAGAAGTAAACCAGATTTTATTCTTGGGTTGTAAACTGCTGCCATACACAAGTGGAGTCAAGATGAGACATGGGTGAAGAGAAGGTGCACAGTCTAGCAATTGTCTTCCCTGTCCATTCTCTGAGGCCCGCTTTGTCCCTCTCTGTGCCTTTTCTCAACATGTCCAGCTTTATAGATAGCAATTTTCTCTGTCTTGTCATTTTTGTCTAAAAAGAAAAAAAATTATTTTTTTTTATTTTTTTTATTTTTTTTTTTTTGTAACTTTCTCTCTGTCTGAGCCTCTTGCTCTGTATTTTGAAGTTGACTTCACTTACTGATAACCATCTATGTAAAGTAATCTATATCTCTAATCTGTATCTATTTTTGCAATTAGCAAGACTCATAATGCTACAATCATATCAGAGCAGTAGAAATAGCCTTGTGTTCACATGGGTAAAAAAACATACACATAAATAACACTAAAAGCATGTTAAATTGTAAATTAAAATCGTACAATTTATTTATTTTTGTGTGTGTATTTTCGGTTACAAGTGTTTTAAGGTTGCATGTGATAAAAGGAAGATATGACTTTGTATTATGACAAGCAATGTCCCAAAGAGAGAAGCTAGACATCTTTACCTTCCAGTGGTCAGTGGCAAAGAGACTGAGTTCAACATCTTTTGACATGAAGTCCATTTTGGCAGGAAATGTTTCTGTTGCATTCTGGGATAAATTATTATTTATTTTTATTTCATTTATTTTAAAGAAAGTTTTAATGTTATTTGTTTTATTTTATTTGTGATATTCGTTGTTATTATTATTATTATTATTAATAATAATAATAATAATAATAATAATGTCCCTACAGACCCTACAAGTATTTGATAATTGTGCAGAATTGTGTTTTTGTTTTCTTAATAACTTTAAAAACTGTTCCCTTGCAGGAAATCGTAACAAATTACGAAAAACTAATGGCAGAAGGTAAAGCAGAATTAGAAAAACTCAAGTAAGTAAAAGTTTACTTTTTATAGGAGAGTCTCTCTTTCTTAATACAGAGGCAGAAAGGAGGAGGAGGAAGAGAAAAAAAGCAGAAATTTGAGGAGGAGGAGACGAATAGGCAGAAAGTGGAGTGGGGGGGGGTCTCAATTGGTTTGGGGAGGAATTTTTCTTAAAATCTTCAATAAAATTGGGTTCAAACCATAATTTAAAGGTTCAAAAAGTGCAAAAACTAATAAGGTGGTCTTGATTGTTCAGCTCAGAAGTAGCGCAGAGAATTTCAAACCCCACCAACCATACGTGCCACACCTATTTCATCTGTTTCATTCACTTTCTTTTTTATTTTAATTGATAAACTTGCAAAATAGAAGACAAAGGCTATGTGCTCGTCAAAGCTTCAGTGTGCAGAAGATATAAGGCAACTGGATCACAAAAGTCATTAAAACATGAAAGCAGAACAGCTATTTTTGATGTCAGTGTGGGTGTGATTTAGGCAGAACATGGAGGAGGAGAATAGATTTTTCTCTTCTTCCTGCCTATACTTTTCCATTTGCTTCTCCTCTGTCTGCCTATACTTTTCCATTTGCCCCTCCTCTGTCTGCCTATTCTTTTCCTTCTTCTCCCTTCTTGTTCCCTCTCTGCCTTTTCTTCTTGTTCCCTCTCTGCCTTTTCTTCTTCTGCTTTTCTTCTTTACAATATTCAAATATCATGAAAACCTACTTAAAGAACTAATTTTTCTGTTTTTTTTTTTTTTTCCAGAAATAAACTTCAAAATTGCAAATGTTAATTTTTTTTTTCCTTAATGCAACATTCCTGTCTGCTGGATTCCTGAAGATTGTCTTTTGTTTGATGGTTTGCCTATCATGGTTTAAAAGTATTCATTGTACTCAGATGCCATCAAACGCATTTATATTGACTGTACTTGCTTATGCAAGATTACCAATGTTATTTTAAGATTACTGAATATTTGTCAGAAGCCCCAAAGAGAATCATTTCCTTCCTTTCACACACGAGATGTGTCAGGGGTGATGATGAAAAGTTCTTGGCACAACCAAAAATGGATCCCAAAACACATTCTTTCGTCAGTAGTTTTTTTGCTTAAAGACAAAACTTTTTTTTTAATGTTTTTTTTTTTTTTAATGTTTTTTTTTTTTTTTTTTTACTATTTTTAATTTTTTTATAATTTTTTTTTTTTTTTTTAATTTTTTTAATATTTAAACATACATTGTGCAATCACTGAGTATTTTCAGCTTTTATAAGTCATTATCATAGATTTCTTTTGTTTTCTTCGTTTTCAGGTATCGCTTTGTGTCTTCATTTTCTCATGAACTGTTAAGAATGATTATCCCTGAATTTGGTAATGCTTTATTGATGTTGGATTGTTGTATTTTGATGGGGGATATGCTTAATACTTCTAATATTTGTAGATCTTTTTTGTGTTATTGGTAAAGATTTAATTGATTCCTTTTTTATACTGCTTGGTGATAAATCAGATAAATGGCTTGTTAATCAGTGTGATAAAGTGGTTGTTGTGAAACCAATGTGTGTGTTATTTAGTGAAATGTCATCCAAGTGATCAAGTGAATTCATGAATTACATTACTTTGTCATATCGCATTGATTAATGTGCTATTTATCTGATAATAATTGAATCACATATCATAAAAAAAAAAACACAAACACATAAGAAATCTTACAAATCCTGACCAATAACATAAAACCCCCCCGATAAACATGACAAGACCACCAACAAATTTTGTCAAATAAATGGTATATGGCAACTGAAAATTCTAGTAGCATAAAAAAAATATAAATAAGTTTTTTAAAAAAATGGTAGCACTTGAAAACACAACTTTAAAGTGTTAGCATTTTCAGAATTTCTCAGTTCATTTAACAAACTGTTTGGTGAGGGTGGGAAGAAAAATTCAACAAGAGATTATTTTTTGGTATAAAACAAATGTTTAATTCTACCAGAGAATTTTTTGTTATTGATTTGTATGTATAGGTATGCAAATTGCCCTTTTTGATTTGCATGTTTGTATATGCAAATCTTCCACTTTTATTTTCATGCACTGATATTTGACCTTGTGGCTTACAACATGTTGATTGATTTGTTACCTGTAAAATATTGATAGTGTTCCCATCTGGATTTAAAGAAGCTCTAAAAAATTGTGGGAGAGGGGGGATATTGCAACTTGGCAAATTTTCTGTCTTAAGATTGAGCTGTGCTGATGATTTCAACGAGTAGTTCTCAAATTTTTTTTCTTGCTGGGCCACATTTTTGGAATGAAAACTTGCTCTCATGCCTCACCAAATTTCATGTGATAAAAAGTACATTTAAAAAAAAAACAGAGCTAGAGTTAAAGGAAGATAACCATGGATCTGAAGTCAGAACATTATCATTGATAATTTTATTATCCCCCAAATTGCGGAATCCAGTTACGATCTTAATAATTGGTATGATATCAAAATATCACAATTTTAAAGTCGGTCAATAATTATTTATAACTATTTATATTGAAATTCATGTGCAATTACAAGTAATCCATAATAATATTTAAAATTCTAAAATATTTATTTTTGGCATTTGATTTTTTTTTTTTTTTTTTTTTTTTTTTTAACTGTTTCTAAATCTTTTATTGTCTTTCAATCATTCCATCTCACCTGCTATGAGGCACGCTACATCATTTGGGAGCTACTGGATTAAACAAAACATTTTTTTTTTCTTTATACCTTAGACATAACAGTTACTAATAAACAATTTTTCCAAATCCCCCCCAATCTTTAAAAAATGAAGCCAAAAAAAAACCTGCGACTTCCAACAACACAGATGAGTGGTAATTTCATCTTCAAGCACTCGTCATGCAAGTGAAACCTGAAAAGTAAATGTTGATTTTTTTCACAATGAATTCATATTTATCTGTAGGTTTCATCTCTTAGAATGTTCAACATATATTCACTGCAACAAAAGCCAAAGTGTCTTCATTAGATGATGACCCCCATGTTCTAGCTTGGAATTTTGCATCCGGGCATCATAACTACTGCACCATTCACTGAAGTTAAGCAACATCAAGCTTGGTCAGTAGCTAGATGGGTGCCCATTTGGTAATACCTGGTGTAATGGATAATGGCTCAGAATTGTTAATTGGAGAGCCAAGTTCTAATTCTAGTTTAGGCCATTATATTCACTTACAAATACCCTTGGGAAAGGTATATATAAATCCACCTGTTCTCCCCCCCCAGCTAATTAGTAAGAATTATATTACTAAAACTATTATCTCAACAACTAAATAATAAAAAAAAGACTGTACAAAAAAAAATTTAGATTTCAACATTAAATAATCAATAGAGGTTGATATGTCACTGTGAAAACAACCAACCAGGCTGTCCATGTCATACATTTTGACGGCACCAGGCTTTGTTAGTCCTCCATCGAAATGGGGAGAAAGCAATTACAATCCCTGCCCCACAATCTCCTTTTTATATCAGTTGAAAGTCAATCAGGGTTATCATGGCTGAAATTGGAATGAAGTCCTGGCATCTGACTACATAAGGATAAGCAGTAATTGTAAATTTGATATTACTATCCCCCAACCCTGACATAGTATATAAAAAAAAAAAATGTATTCACAATTAAGTATGCAGCTATGAGAGAAATAGTTTAGTAAAATGGAAGGGGAAAAAATTGTATAAAGAATAAACACAGTTTATAGATAATTGGTAAATAGTATGACAACTGGACTCAGCTTCCCATATCCCTCTGCAGAATGTTTAATGATATTAATTCCATTAAAAGGAAGGACACCTGAAAATGTAACTTACACCAGAAAAAAAAGACTTCAAATTTGGATTTGAAATAAATTCCTTGTTTTACAGAGGAAGAGGGCTTATGGCTATATCATGTTAAAACTGGTCTTCATATGGTCATCAAAGTTAAGCAAACATCAAGCTTGGTCACTATCTAGATTGGTGACATCTTGGGAATAGCAGGTGCTGTAAAGTTGAATGAGTGGGTGGTGTAATGGATAATGGCTCAGAATTGGAAATCGGAGAACTGAGTTCCAATTCCAATTGGGTTTGTTATAAACAATTTATGCACAAATACTCCTGGGGAAAGGTATGAATCCACCTCTTCCCCCCCCAAAGTTATGGGTTAATTAGTAGGACTTGTACCAGTAAAATTCATTAGTATTTCTCCCAAATTCTTGTAAACTAAAAGTGTTTTCCAGCTTTAAATAACTTGCAAATGGTTGATAAACCATAAAAACAAATGAATCCATAAAAATCAGAGAAAGATGTGTCATTACATTTTGAAATTTTTGTGTCCATCTTTGAATTGAAATAATTACTTCAACTTGCCACTGTCATTTTCACATTTTTCATTTAGCACTCAATGAGAAAGTATTATATTAAATCTTATTTAAGTTAATAAAAAACAAAATGATTGCATTTTAAACAAAAATTAAAAAAAACATAAAATGAATTTTTGGATGAATCATTTTTTTATTTTTTTAAAATATCATTTTCACTTGTTTTGTCTTTGATGCAAAATTAAAAATCTCATAATTTGTGATAATCCCTTTTTGGCTGTGTTGTTTCTGTACAAGTAAAAATAATTTTAAAAAGATGTCATTTTTTTTATTTTTGTAATAAAAATATTAAAATTATTTATTCCTTGTTTCTGTATCTATTTTGTTTTTGGACATTGTCTCAAAATTGAAAAAAATATCCATTTTAGGGAGCATGTTTTTTTTTTTGTTTTCTTATTTTTTTCTTATTTTTTTTTTTTTTTACTTTATCATTTTTTCTTTTCATTTTAGTTTTTTTCATTTTCTTTACTTTCTTTTTTTCTTTCTCCTTTTTCTTTTTGTTTATTTTACTTTTCTTCATTTTCTTTTTGTTTTTCTTTCCTTTTATTTTTTTTTATTCATCTTCCTTTTCTTTCAGTTTTCTTTTTTCCCCTCTTATGTTTTCAATTTTTTCCTCTTTTTTTTTACTTGTTCCATGACTCATAGCAATGAGTACCTTTTTAACCTTTCCCACATTCAAGATTGTAATGGCACATATGCTGAATCCATCATAATTCCATATGTCAAATTAATAAATACAAAAAACTTCTGATCTTTGTTTATAGATCAGGTATAAGAAATCAAGTATAGGAAATAAAGAAATTGAACCTACAAGACGCTGCACTAGGGGTAGTCTCACACAACACCACCAGATGCTACAAAACCAAAACATTAACATAAGAACTAGTCATGTTCTTAAATAGCCTCATCTGATATTGATCCTTATGTGGATGGTATCCAATTTGTTCAGAAATGTCTAAACTGTGCTAAATAGAATCGTTTACTCAGTGCTTTCAAGAATATGGATGCTTTAAGTGTTAAGACTACTCTTCATTAGATCTTATAGACTGACATTACAAAATTGCTAAGCAGAGAATTTACAAAAGCACATCACTTAAAGACTTCCAGCAGCAGCAACAAAAAAAGAATGGATAGCTTATATTACTCAAAGAGAACATAATGACGTGGTAATCACAGGCAGCATGATATTTGAAATGCTCTTCCGCTTTTCCCTTTGACCATCACACTACATCGAAGTGCCCAATGATTTTCTAAGCATAGCTTAGATGTGTTTCAAGGCCAAAAATATTGGGAAGCCAGTGAGGATCGATTGTTGGCCCTGCCCTGGCGTCTCGTCTAGAGTCACTTTCTCACAGACGCGCCGTCACCTCCCTCTGTTCTACAAATACTTTCATGGAAATTGCTCTGAGGAGCTGCATTCGCTGGTTCCCAGACGTCATGAGTTCCAGCGCCCTACGAGGCTGGCATCCCGCTCTCACCCCTTCACTGTCGAAACTCCTAAATGTAGCCATCTCTTCTACTCTAATAGCTTTATGTCTCGCACCTCTCGCCTGTGGAACTCCCTTCCCCTCTCCTGTTTCTCTGTGAGCTATAATCTCCAGCTATTCAAGTGTAATGTCAATCGACATCTCCAGTTGCCTTAATCTATCCACTACCCTCATCCTTTCTTCTATCACTCCTATCTGATCTTGCTATAAATTTTCTGTAACCCCTTGCGTCCTAGTGGCTTCCTGCCTTGCTTGGGGTGAAATGCTTAAAAAAAAAAAATTAGTCTTGTGAGACAAGTTTGTTAACAATTACACCATGTTGAAGTGCCTCAACTGATGATTTTCTAAGCGTAGCTTAGGCGTGGCACAAGGGCCAAAAGTATGGTGCACCCAGTGAAGATAGAAATCACTATTCAATCATAGAAGAACCAAATTTATGGTAACTAAATAGTTACCAGAATGTACTGATTAGAAGAGAATTTTGAGAACATTATACCACTGAAACGTAAGATTCTTGCAGCCTGACATCATCACTAATGATGATGAATTCATCACGAACCAGAATGGAAAACTAAATTTCATTTAAATATATCTAAATTTGCATACAGAAAGTTAAGTTTGATCTGTGTTGCTCAAAATCTACAATAGTGTTTAATCATACTGCTGAACCCTTTTGCCAGTATTATAGCTTGAAGTCTTCATTATCGGTAATCTTGACAAGTTTATCCCAACTGCATGAATGGCTTATCTCAAAACAGAAGCTCATACTACAGAATTCCTTTCCAATCCTTCCAGATGCACATCATGACTTTTTGTTGAAGACCTGCTTTTGACGTGACTAAATCTAGCTCAGGTCACTTACCTCAGGATCTTTTACAATGTACATTGTTGTAAACGATCAATTTCTCACCACCCGTCATAATTTGCTAAAAAAAAGATGGCATTTTTGTTGCATTAATACAGAAAATTACAAATGAAATGTAATCTGACAGATTCTTTTCTCAGAGATCATGTGGTACACAATTATTATAGCGATTGGCTATCCAAATCTCACTATGCTCATGTATGGTGGATTTTGATAAATTTAGTGTTTCTGCCATTTTCCATGTGGTCTTACGTGGGTTATTCCCAATTACTGTCTTGATTTGGCCATCATATGTAGTAGAGGGTTTCACCTAGCGTTCTTCATCAGTAAGGCTACAATCAACTGCGTGAATGGCTTCTCTCAAAACTTTTAAGTGGAGTCACTCACATCCTACCAACAAGGATAGCCTCGTGTTCACAAGAATAAAAACATACAAAGAAATAAGACTAAAAGCATGTTAAATTGTAAATTAAAATCATATAATTTTATTTATCTCTGTTTACTAGTATGGTGTGTATTTTAGCTTTGTGTTTTAAGGTTACATGTCATAGAGGAAGAAAGTCACTTCGTCATATGAGAAGCAAGACGCCAAGGAGAGGAAATAGATTTTTTCATTCTTTATGCATCAGTAATGAATAGAGCGAGTTGGACATTTTTAGGTGTGGAGAATACATTTCTGAAACAATTTTCTTTTGCATTCTGGGATATTTTTTTATTAACCTGGTTTTATTTTATATTTTTTATTATTTTAAACACAGTTTTAATGTTGTTTTATTTTATTTATGATATTATTATTATTATTATCTTATTTCCTTTGATTTCTGGTCTATGCTCATTTCTTTTGGTGTGATATTTGAAATGATCTTCCTCTTTTCCCTGCGACTATCACTCTACAACGAAGTGCTCATTTTCTAATCATAGCTTAGATGTGGATCAAGGCCAATTGTAATTGGTCTAGCAAGACAAGTTCGCTAACCATTACAACATGTCGAAGTGCCTCAACTCATGATTTTTCTAAGCGTAGCTAATTATGACTGAATAGTGAGTTCGATCTTCACTGGGTGCTCCATACTTTTGACCTTGTGTCACATCTAACTTCTAAAGTGACGCTTAGAAAATCACCACTACCCGAAAGGCAAAGGACCGAGGAGGCTTGAGAATTTTTTTTCTATTGTATTTGTTGTTTTAAAACCTGCATTAAACCTTGACCTCGAATCACTTTTGTCAGAGACGTGGGCGCACTAAAAAACAAAAATCCACTTCCCACAGCCAGCGAGGGATAAGTAGAGCAGACTGTTATCCGTGGCAGGGAAATCAGTTGAGTGTGAAAGACAATTCTAAATCGAGGAGAATGTAACCTGGAAACCACTCCACAGCCTTTATCAAAAAGTCATGGCAATTGTTTTTTTGTTTTTTAAACTAACATAACATTTTTAGGAAATTTTCTTTATTGTAATGTAACTGTACAAAGAATTCACGACCACTCACCACCAAATGTAAAAGCAAATATGATATAAGCAAAATGGTAGCGTTGAAACTGCCTAAAAATATTTCCACACAGTTTATTTTTTTATTTTTATTTTTTTTTTAAATAATGACCTTGTCGTAGGAGGCAAAGTTAAATAAATAAAAATATTTATCACATTGGGATTTCTGTATCGTGTCGTGGTCCCGAACGAGGCTACGCCCAAGGGCGGAGTCTCTTTCGGGGAGGTAAACCAGCCCTGAACCCGTTTATACGGGTTCAATGGGCATATTTTTGGCACGAGCCCACGGGCTCGGGGATCCCACGTTAAAAAAACCAGCCTTGTGCCACATGATGTCCCAGTGGGGGGGTTGACTGAATATCGTCGTGGTCACCATTGTGACGGTTGACACGGAATCTTGGTTTTTACATTCAAATTGAATGAATGCTTCGTGAACGTTGTTTTATTTTTAGAAGGTTTATTTTATTTTGCAGACACAAAATTGTATCCTTCTGGGTGGGGGTAGAGTTTGTTGCTTATGGTATGTTGCAAACATAGAGGGTGAGCGAGAGAGAAAGTGAGAGTGAGTAAGAAAGAGTGACTGGCAGAGAGTGAGTGGGATTTCTGCAAAGCGTTGTGGTCACCGTTGTGACGGTCGACACTGAATCTTAGTTTATAAATTAAAATTGAATCAATGCTTCGTGAACGATGTTTTACTTTCGGAAGGTTTATTTATTCATTTTGTATAGAAATATAAACTTGTATCACTCTCGAGGGGGGGTGCAGAGTTTGTAGCTCACGGTACATTTGAACGCAGAAAGAGAGATTCCTCTTTCTTTGTAGTAGGTAGTCTTGGTGGTTAGTACTTCGGTAGTTAAAGGTGTGGATCAGTCAGTCTCGCTTTCTGGCGGAAGTGTACAGAGAATTGATCTCGAAGCTCTGTTTTTCTGGTTTTATATTGATTTCGTAGAGTGCGATGAGTGAAGTAGGACTGTCTGTCGGTCTAGTACTGGTGTAAGCGGAAGTGAACAGTGTGGAATCTTCCACAACAAACCAGCCTTACCTCTTTTTAGGAAATGCACTCTTCCTATTTGGTAAGTAACATCTTACTTTCATACAAATATCAACAAGTATTCATTGGTTAATCATCTCCAATCTAGCTTGCTGATTGGTCAGTTCCGACCAATCTGTTTTCCCGCTCATATGCTAGGAGCCACTTGACCATTAAATAAACCGAACACATGTGAACTCTCTGAGTCATCTTTCTTTTCATTCTTCTCTCTCGCACGTCTCATTCCCTGCTACCAAGTGCCAAGATGTAACCTTCAGGAACTCCCATCTTAGTCATTGCTGGCCAGACGTTAAAGACAATTACCAACATTCACGAACTCTGAATTCACTTCTGAACTTTTACCAACTTTACAACTCACAATTCCAAACTTTCTTAATATGAACTCAGGTACAAATAATACCTAAACAAAGGGACACGACTCTCTCCTACCTTTTCAGTTCGTATGCATGTATCAAACATTAATTAATTCAGCTGTTATGTTTTGAAATCATTCCATTCTGTTTTGTATTTTATACTATGTGCTATTTACGTCAAATGTAAATTGCATTGCGTCCACGCATTGTCCTTAATCCCACATTTCCTAGCCAAAGTTAAATATTGGTAACACCTATCACCACATATTTTATGACCTCGACGTTCGTCGTACGATCATACCGCTACATAATTGATGATCCCGCCGGTAATAAACAATAATGGTAAACCCTATCGCTACAACAGTATCAAATCAAAGGAGGAATGAAAAAAATAA